CTTGGAAACAATCCTTCAAAAACCACTTACTAAATTTTTCTATTTCAGGGAATCAACCAATAACATAGGCCCTCCACAGTCCTTACACACACATTTTTTCGGCGTTGCGGATGGTGTCGCGTGCTTGCCTCGACTGCTTGATACCCGATACCCTTTCACTAGTAGATTTATTTTTTGACCTTTGACCCCTTTATGTAAACGGTGATGATCACCTTTGGATTTTCCGTTTTCCTCGTTTCATTGGTGGTACTCTTTAGAAATAGAGATGGCAGCAATCAATTCATACGCTGGGCAGTACTTAGAGTAAGCATGTTTTTCGAACCATTCAAATCTAAATAAGCGTTTTTATAACGCATTGAGCTACTTCTCCCATTGATGAATATGAGTCAGTACAATCTAAGAATTACCCCCTAATTGCTCTTATTGACAATTTTGGATAAAGTGTCCGTAGTTAATTACATGAAGATGAAGGAAGTCAGGCTCTTCGAGCAGGCAACAATCTTGGACTGATTGTTCAACGGTAGATCGCATCAAGGTTCCAAGAGTAGCAAGTGCCTTTGTATGGAGGTATCTAGGGATTAGTTGGTCGCGTACGGCGGCAGATCGGCAGGAGGAAAGCAGCGGTCCGGATAGTCAGGATTATTCCCCCACCAGGTCGGGAAGCTGAGGTTGGGGAGATCGACGATGAAGACGCCAACCAAAGTCATCAATTGCGTGCCACAGTCCAGCCCGACGCCAGTCAGGTAGTTGTACTTGCGCCACCACGCGGGCTTGTACTTGCGGAGATAGCCCATGAAGGTGATGGCGGTCAGAAAGGACATGAAAAAGTTGGCCATGGGGTAGTACGGCCAGTTGGTGCCGGCGAGGAACATGAGGGTGGGATTGAAGCGGGTCTCGAGCTTCCAGTGAGGCTTCCAGCGGTGGACCAGCCAGACGGCAAGGACGGCGGCAGGGCCGACCAGGAAGGAGTAATACACCCAGGGGTAGCGGTCGGCGAAAAACCGTTTAGGCCCCAGGATGCCCCAGATGATGGAGGTGGAGTAGAAGTAGCGGCTGTTGACGGCATCCCAGTTGTTGGAGCTCAGCTCACCATCCAGATAGCGCCGCTCGTGGGTAATGAGGATCTGGGAAACACCATAGTTGACGAAGGGCCCTAGCAAGGTGCCCCAAACCTGGCCGATGAACATCTCGCGCTCTGGGATCTTCATGTAGAAGCCAAACTTATAGTCCGAGATGAGGTTCAGGTTTTGCTCGAGTACCGCGTACCCGTAGGTATATGCGGCGAGCATTGCTGTTGGCTGGCCAGGGAAGAGGAAGCCACCAAGCAAGTCACTGAACATGCCCATGCCGACTGCGGTATTGGCAACAGCCCAGAGGATACCGTTGGGCCAGGTCATGAGGAAGGAGACCAGACAGATCACAATGAACCCCCACCAGGGCATGCGAATCTGGCCCTCGTAGAGGCCCGCGATGGCCAAGCCGGAGCAGATGGCCAACAGGGTGAGATACCACCAGTGAGGCACACGCTTCTGATAGGACATGATCTTCAAGTACGGGTCGTCGTAATCGTTGTATCTGTTTGAGAAGGCGTCGCGGAGGCCATTCCATGCTTCCTTGCCATACCAGAGCAGGGCATACATCAGGGACGCGGATAGGGCGGCAAACCCCCAAAACCAGTAGAAGACGTATGAGGGAGCCCAGTATGGGGAACCGTATTCCGCGTACGCTGTCTCATTGAGTGTGTTGCTGGCAGTCAGAATGTTGGTGACATCGTACGTGCTGCCATTGGCCGTGTAGGTGCCCGTGTCCATCGGTGCAAATGTCTGTGCGTTCATCGTGTTGGTGAAGTAGATGATAGGGTACAGAACCCAACAGATAAAAATGGTGAACAGGGCAGTATTCATGGTAGACCAAAGTGGGGTGTAGAGGGGCGAGAAGAAGGCGCCATAGTTCCAGTCGATTGACAGGTCGAGGAGACCCTGAGGAAAGGAGAAGAAAACACAGGTTAGTCTTAATATCTAAGAGGGAGAGAGAGTCTTACGAATCCATAAGTCCCTGAACCCAGCACCCAGGCCTTCCAGTTGCCGTGACCCATCCAACAGATAATCGGCATGGTGCTCAGGAGCGGGAAGATGACCTGCGGGAACCATTCCCAGATGAATGCAGTGGCGGCAACAATGGCGAAGTACTTCAATGCCTTCTTTGTGGCAGAGGGGTTGTGGTGCATGGCATTAAACAGTGTGATATTCGGCAATACACCTGGATAGTACATTGTCGGGGGGCGGACTAGGATATCACGCAGCAGACCCGCGAAGCCATAGCCGATCATCTGGGTGGTGATGAGAAAGGCGATAGACCAGCCCGCGTTTAGCGACTCTCCGTAGAAGAGCTCAATGGCCGAGAGGGGACCAAGGCCGAAAGCTGTGTAGCACTGGAAGTGATAAGCATATAGTATAGAATAGAGGTGACAGTACCAAGGAGATATAAGTAGCTTACACTACCCCAGTATGCGACAACGACGAGTGCGTGCTCCTTTGCATTCCACGGTGCCGGGTTAGGATTCCATTTAAAGCCGAACCAGTTGAACTCGCGGTTAGGAAGGTAGTTGGCCATGGCGACACCCATTCCCCAGGAGAGCAACTGGACGGCATAACTGGTGACGGTAACATAGTATGGCTTGAAGTAGTAGAAGGTCGAAAGCGCGCAGCCGACCACAACCCAGAAAGTCGACAGCATCCAGAAGCGGAAGGTCAGGATCGGCTCCCTAGAAGCGCACGATCATTTTAGCCTTATAGACGTTTGGTCATTACCGGCAACGAGACAACTTACGTCGGGTCATTCTTCAGATCGACCGTCTTGGCCACAAGCTCAATGGGATAGTTCTTCAGACGAGGGTCAACGTAGACATCGTCCGAATCGGGGGCGATACCCTGGCCCAGAGGAACATCACTGAAATCGCCTTTAAGATCCTTGGTAGACAGGAAGCCCTGGGCGTGAATCTCGACGTCCGTCTGGTTATCAGAGGCGCTCTCCTCCGACAGCCGCAGATCACCCTTCTTCTCAATGCTTGAGGTGGGCTCGTGCGATGCTGGAGAGTCCTCTACAATGCCAGGCATGGTAACGGATTATCCTGATTTCAGGACTCAGAAAAGGAGCAGATCCAGTGGCGAGAGAAAAGGCCGCTGGAGAAGGGAAACAGAGAGATTATCGAGGGGTAGTGGCGATCATTGTACTTGCTTTATAGCCCCTTGCTCACCTCACATCTCTTCTCTTTGTCCTTCCCTTCCCCTTGAACTTTTGTATGCAGTGATAGCGATCTCTGATCAGTCTGGAAAATTCCAGGCTGCAAAGCCCTGGTCGGTCATTCGTAGGGAACTACGAAGTACGCCAGTGGTGTCGTTTAGGGTTATCAAAACGGCTATCGTAGGCCATCGTCGCATGATCCGGCCTGTAAACCGAGGTCAATGATTGGGAAGATTGTTGCTAACGGATTGAAAGAAGTTGGTCAACTGGCCGATAAGCGCTGCAGTGTCAGACATGGTAAATGATAGGTAAAGGTCCGTGAGTCGGAGGAAGAAAGACAACTGCTTACAGTGCTTCAATCCCACTGGTGCCTGCCGCCTGGGGTTGCAACTGACACCCGCAGAGAACCGGCCATCCGCACCTATTTGCATCTTGGCTGAGGACATGGATGCGGTGATTGGTAGGGTTCAGAAATAATGAAAAGATACATCGGCAGATACCCAGGTCGAGATACATCATCTCTCATCATTCTAGCACCGTTGAGGAAGGATATTGAGGGGGCCAACCCCATCGGCTTTCCCCCTCTCTCTGTCCTCCAGGGGGCCCTGGTCCTCCTGCCATCCGACGCGGGCGTGGAAAAAGGCTAAAACGGGTGCCCAAGGGTGCCAACTAATATCAAAAAATTAATATATTCTCCTCACCTCCCTCGGAGGCACCTTACCATTCAATTCTTCGAAATACCAGCTGGTCTGCCACCTTCCAACTCCCCTCCACGAGCCCCAAACACTGGGCTGAACGTATCCTTTTCCAGAGCTCGGCCATCTGCGGTGTACTCCGCACTGCGTGTGGGTCATGGAGCTGGGATGTCTTCCATTCTGTCGGATTATCATGGTGGCTTCCTAGGCTAGGTTCGCTTTGGAACTAACCATACCCAGTAGCCGGCGAGTTCCTATTCTCTCACTGTCCAGCCTGATGATCCGACAGGACAGTCCAGCCAGGTGAACCGTACGTAGAGTTTGAATCTTCTGTTCGTTTGTGTTCTCTAGTTGTACCGATACTTCTCCATTATTAGCAGTGGTCGAGTAAATCAATAGTAATCCCCGAAGATGTGGTTTTCTCTCACGCGACCGAACATATTGTGGGCTTTGTGGCACCCCTACCCGGCAGCATACGCGTACTCGCGTCGTTGAACAGGGTTGAATCAGTACCATTTCAGAGAAGGATTTTGTAGCTGGTAACGAGAGGGGCACATGATGCATTGTCCCAAATTCCCAATGACTCGGTAGAGTTCTAGCCTGCCGTTTATATGGGGACCCAGGGTGTATTAAGTGAGTCCCGACAGGAAGGTCAGTCAGCGGAGATCCGACGGGTCTGGGGAGGAGGAGGAGAGACTGTTATATGATAACTCGAGGGGGGGAAGATAAAGCAGGCATCCCCATGTGCAATTTCGATTGAAAAGATTTCGGAGAACAGGATAGAGAAGAGGATTCCTTTAATATAAGGTGCTCGACCTTGCGAGCATAAGGCGCCGGCCTGCTCAGGTCATCCTGGGGGGCTTCTAGCCTGTGCCGTAGGGAGCGTGCGTCAGACCAGGAGACAAAGGGTATTGGACGAGATAAGGGCTTTCGGTCTGAACTATACCTTCTATAGGACTGCCTGGGTATTCAAATGAACGAGATGGGATTCGATTGCCTTGATCCGATGGCTGTGGCTTCGGGAAATGGCTCTTTGAGTTGGGAGTTCGAAAAAGGGAGAGGCCCTGTTACTAAACTGTAGGTACTTCGCAACTGGATCTACTCTGTAACTATAGGTACTACCTAGGATTGTTCAAGGATAGGTACCTAGTAATTAGGTACCTGATAATTATGCCCGATTGACAATTTACTAATGGCCTCAGGCATTAAGCAGTCATCTACTCCAACGCCCATAACTATGATCTCGCAACTAAGATAGCGGAGGCCCCCCCGTTGTGATGACTTTTTTTATGCCATTGCCGTGTGATCGTTTTATCGTTTCAAAAGCAAGAAGACAGGAGTCTAGACTATTGTAGTGATAAGATTGAAATTGAAAAGAAAATGCATAATCGTGCCAGCTCTCTCCTGCACTTCATCCTCCCCCCCACCAAACCGCTGTTCGTAGTATCGTGATTTTCCAAGCCAGCAGCAGATCCCAAAGCACCTTGGACGAATTGCAACCCCAGTCGACTGGGGTTGGTTACGTGCCAGGTCACTTCGCGCCGATGTAAATGCGCTGTTTACAAGTCGGCGTCATCCTCGTCAGGCAGAGCTTGCTGGGTGGCAGCCGCCATCTCGTCCTCGTACTGCTTCATGAGCTCGGCGCTGACCTGAACCTCGGGAGGAGCAAGGGCGGGAGCGGCGACGAATTCCTAAAAAGTTTTGGTTAGCAAGATGACGGCGTGGAGAGGGAGAGGGAGAGGGAGAGGGAGAGAGAGAGAGAGAGAGAGATAAGCGAGGATGCTCACCAGTTGGGGGTTGCCAACGAGTTTCCGGGCAAGCCAGAGGAAGGGCTTTTCGAAGTTGTAGTTGGACTTGGCGGAGATGTCGTAGTACTGGAGGTTCTTCTTGCGGTGGAAGGTGATGGTCTTGGCCTTCACCTTGCGCTCCTTGACATCGACCTTGTTACCGCAAAGGACGATCGGGATGTTCTCGCAGACACGGACAAGATCACCTATGGAAATTCATTAGCAGGCTGCTGCAACTATCAAAGCAAAGGAGGAGAATACTCACGGTGCCAGTTGGGGACGTTCTTGTAGGTGATGCGGGAGGTGACATCGAACATGATGATACCGCACTGGCCGTTGATGTAGTATCCATCTCTGAGACCACCGAACTTCTCCTGGCCGGCAGTATCCCATACGTCGAACTGGATCTCACCGAAGTTCTGTCGAGGGAGTTAGTCGAAACAGACGTTGACAATTCACGATCAAAGCGGGGTTCTGGCGGGGCATACGGTGCTGAACTTGAGAGGGTGCACTTCGACACCGAGAGTTGCGATATACTTCTTCTCAAACTCGCCAGTCAAGTGACGCTTGACGAAGGTGGTCTGTTATGTGTTGGAAATTTTCTCGCGTTAGCATGGACCGCCACCGCCGCAAGCAAAGATTTTTTTTCTTCTCTGACGTCGCTCCGCAGGAGGGGGAACTCCTGGGAGAAGGAGGGGTGTGAACGGTCATCGCACGACAAAGCCATTTTTATCGATGCCGACTAATAGTTCAAACCCAGAGCGCGATGGACACACCCTCCATGCAGAATCGATATGGGGGGTTTGTACTTGCCTTTCCAGTACCACCGTCACCGACCAGGACAAGCTTGAAGGTGGGCACCTGAGCCATGATGTTTATGTGACGTTGAAAATCAGGGAAAATGGAGATTCAGAAGGTTGGGAAAAAATCGACGGCCACGTAGACTTGCAAGCGAGGCAAAAAAAAACGTTGCGTTTAACAAAAGCCCAACGGTGGAAACCAGGGGAGTTGTCGAAAGAGAAATACAGGGCTGGTGATCGAATTTTTGCCCCGACAGGCGCTCACAAACAACACCACTCTTCTGCCGGTCACGTGGCTTCCGGTCCCTGGGCGGCTGGGCCTGAGGCGACAAGGCGGTGTGCAGGTCAGCCCTTGCAGAGTCTGTTTTTTCTTTTTGGAGGCTCCGTAGAGGTAGAGTGGTATAGTATGTAGTGTGTGGATAGCTAGAAACCTAGGGGAATTGGAAGTTATAGAAAGTATTTATATTCTTCTCAATTCAAAGTAATTAAGGGCTTTCACGGTACGGAGTACGCCAGTCGTCCATCTGCTATGGTGCCTAGCCGGAAAACAAACGACCGGCAAGGTAGCCTGAAGAAGCTTTAGTAATCACAGCTTCAGGGGTCGTCGATCATCAATTATTGATTCATTGATTCGTTCAGCATCATGATTTTTTGTATCTTGTCTCGAGCATTGTGACACGCGAGAGCGAATCAGGTCTCATAGAGGAACCAGATGGCATCCTAGTAGACCTCGACCACCCCAGCCTTGCCGCGGTGTGAGCTGCAAGTCCAGCTCTGTAGTATCAGGACCAGAATCTTCTTTACGGACGACTTTGACGGTTAAAGGGCGCTTCTACCAGTTAGCAGACGAAGAGCGAATAGCAAAATCTGCACAGCGAAGCCAAGAAATCAGCCTACCCCTTCGCTCTGCTGAACGACCTGTGCCACCCTCGACAGGCGCTCGTGATTCATCCAGTGGACGCCCCCAAAGCTTCGGATCGTGTCTCCGGCCTGCAACCCGGCTTGAGCGGCAGGGCTGTCGGGGACCACGCTGTTTACTCTTGCAAACGGACGGCCCAGCATTCCGGTCTCTGCAAGATTATCACGGGCCGGTTGCCCGGTGGATGCAGCCTGTGCATTCCCCATAGCCGTTGTATCTGTGGCTGTAGCGCCTTGAGCGCGCTGGAGATTGGCAAAATGCTCGTGCAGCCCGCCCTCCAATCTTTTCATCACTTCTTTATGATCGGTTCGCAGGTGGATGATCCGCGCACGGGTCGTTCGGACTGGTAAATTTTTAGAATAATGTGTTCTGCGGTACAAGCCTAGGCACACGTACTCTGAGCGATATCGATGTCGTCGCGGGGAAAGCCGTCGAAGGTAGTAAGGGAAGTGTTCATGTTCACGCCATGCTGGATCACATCAGATCAGTCGAAAACCCAGAGTCAAGCGATTCATTTCATCTCTCACAGAACTCAAAACACTGCTGAGAGCCGACAGCTCTGCTTCGATACGCTCTTTTTCCTCCATCAAGCCGACCATGGAGAGCTTCGACAGATCGCGGGGTGCCCCGCCGGACGCAGGTCCAGAGGGGACAGTTGGAGCGTGGATATTATCGTCCATGGGGATTCCCATATTTCATGAGATCTGGAAACGCGATCAGATCATCCTAGAATGCAAGAGGGGGATACAGAGAAGTCGTTGTGACGATCTGGATAGCTATCGGTGGGTAGAAGAAGTGCGGGCAGCAACTTAAACCGCCTGGAACCAGTGGGGATCACTCAGAGATGATCCATGACGGATCTTCATAACAGTTTTGACGAATTAGGTACGTACTCGACTTTCTAGATGGTTTTATAGAATTTTAATCCTAACTATCCAGTATTTACGAAGCATGAGGTACATTTTATAAAGAGATGGCGCTTTTTATATGGAGCAAGCTGCCATTCCCTCCAAAAATAATACGGACAAACCCTTAATGGCGACATCTTCAGAAATGACCCCTGGATCAAGTTCTGTGTTCTATCACCTGTCTTCAAATAGATGGAAGAGAGCTTACTCACTGCAACTGATGGCATGTTTCGTGTTTCAAGTCCTTTCTTGATGCCAGAACTACTAATCGTGTCCATTGCAGCTCTCAGCAGGCAAATCATGATGCTTGAGTAGAAGCATTCGAGAACTGTTCATCTAGCATTACCTAGGTAGTATCTGCTAGAAATGGTTATAATCATTAAGGAAACAAGAGCTGTTCTTATGCTGAGAGAGACAAGAATAAGGCCCAGGCATAAAAAGCCCCTTCCTTCTTTGGAATAACTTCGCCAAGTAGAAAAACTTCCTCCCATTGTGACTTCCTCTACTGATAAACTCTCTCAATGGCTCCCACCTGGATATCCTTAGTTGTCACATGAAATGTATCTTTTAATTAGCCACCACCAGTGTTTATGCTGTGTTTCTCACTCAGCTACTCTTAGCTCTTCTCTCCTCGCAGAGCCATGGGTTCAGAAACAGACGCCGAGACCGAAGAACCGTACCCTTTTTACGATATATCACGGTTCGAGACAAAGGGAGAGGAGGCGGTGGCAGGCTCAGAGCGAGAGGCTCCCGCAAGTGCCTTCAAGAGATGGATGAGCACGTTCCGGTCGAAGAGACCTGTTCTGTCCCAGACGCAGGAGAGAGTCGTTGAGGGCTGGCCCCAGGACCCTGAAACGTTTGGAAACCGCATCATCCCACCTCACAATGGATTTCAAGAGCAGCAGTGGGAGGATATGTCAGGTCGATCATCCTCCTTCCTAGGAACAATAAACACAGCAAGCATAAGCGTCGCAACCCAAAGCGTGATAAGGTCGAGAGCAAACACCCATAGTACTACAAACCAAAGCACACGCTCCGACATTCGACCTTCATTTGACAGCTTAAGACCAACTCTAAGTATTCCTTTGGACGATGCTGCTCAAAATAGGAGCATACAAAGGCGCCAGGTTTTGAACGAAATCCTAAGAACAGAGTCAGAATATGTCGCTGGTCTTAGAGCATTGACTGAAGTACGCCACCAGTATTCTTCTTTTTGATAATTTGGTATTACCTCTGGCTGACGGATATGAGCAGATCCTTGCCATGTTTCTTACTCGCCCCGAACTATATTACAACCTCGAACAGATTCGTGGAATACATGAGAAGTTTCTGGTCCAGCTACAAAATCTGATTCGAAGTTCTGATCCCGCAATGTTAGATGCACCGTTTGCCCAGTCGTCTCATAAGAAGCTGCCCTTTATGGAATTGTCTGGATTCAAAAGAATGCCCAGCCAATCTTGGAAAATTCATAATCCAAGGCACTTGTATGACACCAGAGTCAGCGTGGCCATTGCTGGTCCTTATGAAGCTCTTGAAGTCGCCCGTGAAATAGAAAATCTGGTAAAGCTGATAACTTCCTTCCATCTAGCCTCTTGTACTAATCAGGATGTCGTTATATAGTCTATATCCTTTGTGGCTTACGAGAGATTTTGCACAACGTACGAAGTGCTGGCCGAAGACCTTTCTATCCTCCGGCGTTCCGTGCCCAACTGGCAGCTTTTTGACCGAGGAATCGAAGCACTATCAAAATCAGCGGCATCAATCGAAGGTTGCCGGCAGGAAGATAGCAAGTCTATGACTTTGAACGATCTCTTGATCAAGGCGGGTCATCAAACTCTCTAGCATGATGAACTCATTGCTGATGGTACTGCTTTCTAGCCAATCCAGCGCCTATGCAGGTATACGCTCTTGATACAGGATTTACTGAAGAATACAACTGCGAGTGACTGCCAATCTTCCCATGATGGGATTTACCAGGCCCTGGAGAATGTACGGGCTGTAGTTGCTCGAGTCAATGCAGCCACCGGCAACCCGGTCAACAAGGATCGGGCCCGAAAAACAATTTTGCTACAGGAAAAGCTTCATTTCGCGAGGATGGTAAGACAGTCCTGATCGTATCTTGTTCGGGTATCCGCCGATATCTCACTTTTCTAGTGTCCCCTTCAAAACATATTCCGGCAACTTGGCCCCATTATACAGTGTGGCGTGTTGTATGTTACCTACAATTGCCCCGGGCAAGTCACTGGGGACTACATGGTCTCTGCCCTTTTTAATCGTCACTTTTTGCTGGCCCAATGGAGTGACGATCAACGTCGACTCCAAGCAATCGCATGCTTGTGCATTTCCGACATGAAGATTGACATATTGGAGAATGGCAAAGGTAAGGAAGGCCAAGTCAAGTCTCTGAAAATGTTGCTATTGAGTTGTTGACATATAATACTGGTAGGAATATTTTGTGATTGGTCTTTATTTTCTTGGAAGCTTTCATTTCACCACATTGACAAAGGTTATGAGTTCGTCTTGAGCGCTTCATCAGCTGCTGAAGAAATGCAATGGAAGACAGAGATCATCAAATTAGCTGCGATATTATCGGATGAGCCAAAAGATGGGCCATCAAAAATAGTGAGATGCTCATTCTTGTCGCTAAACCTGGTTGCTGTCGACAGTCCTTTGCAACCAGCTCCTTCTCTGGTCCGCAAAGCTTCTGCATCTGCACTCACAACCTTGCGGTCTGACCATCAACGCGATATGTTGCATGTGAGAATTAAAAAGACGCACTTTCCTCGCGGCTCTGAGGAAACGGCTGCGCAACCAGATGGCGAAATCGAACGACCAAAGGTCCTGTCGAGTGCACGCTCTATTTTGACCTTGACACCGAGAAGGGAAGACCGGATCCGCCTAGAGAAGTTTATCTCGATCATCTATACCAGGGATGTCCTCCCCTTCCCAGGGATGTCTCTCGGTGCCGCAGATCGCTTCACCCGGACAACCAGCCGACTTATTCGGAGAATCAGCTCCCACGCCAATTTCAGTCGACGATCGACTTCACTTACTGTCACTCAAACAGGGTCCATTGACGAAGAAATCTGTTCGCCCAGCTCCTCTAATGGATCTCAGAAGGCTGTGATGCCTCTTTGCAGCCGAGATGACGGAGTGGCTGAGGGATCCGACGACAAGACCATCACAGAACCTTCGGGTCCAGATATTACTCATGAGAGTATGCCGATAATTAGGCCCCTACAGAAAAGAGCCACCGACTCTTCGCTCATTTCGAAGAAAAAGAAGTCACCCTTTGCGGTTGGAGTGCGTAACACGTTTTCTCTTCGGAATCGCAAGAAGCCCCGGTCGAGGACGGAGATAATACGCCTATTGACCGAGAACGAAGATGCAGTATAATGGTCAATTCTTTCACACACAGATTCGTTCTTATTCTATTTCGGCGGAGACAGAAGGGGTAGACTTGAAGCTCTTGCTTGGCCCGACGTAATGATGCGAGGTGTTGATGGGAAGCAAGCAAGGCGACGACGTATGGCCGTCGTTTCTCCACCATTCTCTCCCTCTGAACAACATTCCCTGGGTCGTCATTGAGATTTGGTTTTAGGCGAAAGCGGATCTATTGCTGATCAAAAGGCAATTGCTACTTGTTCTCTTGGCTGGTCATCTCTGGTGGTCGGCACCGATGACGTCGAAGGTCCGCCCGCCGTTCCGTCATGAAGGCTGGCATGCCACTCTGTACTTAAAAAAGCTGGTATTTTCCCTTGCAGCACTCATTATGTTTTAAATTCACACCTTTTAATAAAGCAGATTTGATTACAGATCAATTGGCCTCCTCTCTACCTGTAAACTATTCGTTGTGCGGCTGTGGGTAGACATCTGCAGTGGATCACTTTACTTTCTTGATATCACTGACGTCATCATCCATCATCTCACACGACACTCGTCTGGAGACGAAGCATTTATTGCTCTCGGACCAGCCTCTTTTACCCCTTCTCTCCATTTGAGACCATTCCGAGCTTCCAATTCACTGATTTTATTACGTGTTGAATAAAAAAACATCCCATCATCATCATGCCTCGCTCAAACGACAACACTTCCAAGATCTTCTACAAGGGTCGCTCTGACGACTTTGTCGTCTTCGTGGACGACCTGACCACCCTGAACAACTGGCGGAAGGACAAGAGCGTCCCGCTGACAGACGTCGTCAACGGCTGGAAGATTTTTGTGACTCATAAGTAAGAGATCGTTGAGGAAGTACTATATAGTAGTTCCTGCTAATGGGCTTTTTTCCGCAAATAGACACGGCGCTCAAGGTGTCCTGGACGGGGCCAGCAATGCTAGTCTGGAGAACGAGTTTGGCACCGCCAATGAAGACGATTGCATGGTCAAGATCCTCGAAGGAGGAGAGTATCAGAACTCACCGGTGAGTTCTTCTTCTTCTTCTTCTTCTTCTGGTCTAGAAAGGGTCCCTTCTTACTGACATATATGTGTAGTCGCGCGAATCCCAGGGAGACCGGAACATTAGCAAGGGTCCCTCCGCTATTACCAGGTAGAGAAGGGCTAGGAGTGTCCTTTGAGAGCAGGCTTTTCGGAGTGCAAGATGTCGGTGCCAGTTTCTCCTAAGCCTATTGATATCACTCTTCCTGACACGATATGATCACTTGGAAGGTCTGGCCTGGCTCTACTATTCATTTCCATTACCTCGCAGTAAAGAAGTTCATGAAGAATAATGCATCTAGCAGAACGAGTCAGGTACTGAAAGCATTAAGATATTGATAAATCGATAGCATAGTCCCCATTATGTCATATATATACACACACAAACCCACATATATATATATACATCCATATAGGCTTATTTTAGTCGTGTAGGGTTTCTGATAGACTGCGCTCCTCTCTCTTCTGCGCCACCCATTTACCCAATTCCAACCAGACCGCCTGTTTCTCGGCCAAGCTCATCCCCGCTGCTAGGCCCGAGGTTGTGGTAGCGACAAACACGGGGGCCCCATCCCAGGCTCCCGTTCTGCCCATGTTTTCACGTGGATGCTGCCAGCCGTAGCGGAACTCGTCTTTGCGGATAGGTCGACCATGGCGGACCCGCCAGAGAGCCTCCCAGATACCTTTTCCAACGAGGGCGACTGCTTCGGGCCGTTGGGCAGCGACTTTGGCTTCGAGGACGGGGACGCCGGCGTCCATCTCGGAGCGGGTGAGCATGCTGGCATCACGCGTGGGGCGTTCCACGATGTTCGTATTGCCGACGCTGTACAGCTTGGGGAGACGGTATGTGTCGCTGGGTTGATGGCGGGCGGTGGTGATGCCTGAGGAATGCAGTAGTTTCCAGAAGAGGTTTGATGGGTGGGCATAGGCGTGGCCTGTCGCGCCCGTTAGGATGCCCGGGTTAACGCCGACGAGGAGGAGGATGAGGTTGGGTGGGATGGTGTCGCGGAGGAGGGAGGCCGGCGGGGGGGTGGAAGAGGACGGAGGGCGGGATCGTTTCTTCTTTCGTGGAAAAGAGACAGAACGACTGGACTTGTCGTCTCCAGAGGGGGTTGGATCACGGGAATCTAGCCTTTGTCTGAAGAGGTATCTTGATGGTTGTGATTTGGCTGCTGGCTTTGTTTCTGCTGAAACCTGGGAGCATTTGGCCGTGTGGTAGAACTGGTGAAGCTTGCCATCGAAGCTCAGCTGTTTGTTGACGGGAACATCATTCTCAGCAAAGTAGTTGCTTGTCTGGCCCTCGTCGTCCGAGACAAATCGTTTTGACCCGGGCATTGAGAGAATAGTTAGTAGTACTAGGAAGATTGAACAGCAGCGTATGGAGACCTCCGTACAGTCTGGAAGAATAGTATATCGAAAAGACGCGAATTAGACGCTAGAAAAATGGTTAGTAGTTACGATAGGCCTCCAGCCGTCAGAGATGGCCTAGACTCTTCAGAACAGGAGATGTGGATGAGAGATTGTTCCTATCCAAAGGGAACACAATAGGGGATCCCGGAACGGAGAATTTATCCCAATTAGTGAACGTCGATCAAAGTTAGTACAGTACGTAGTTATCTAGGAACAAACTACCTGGTGATACCTTACGACTGGTCAATTTGACGGAACATCTATTTCCAATTGAAATATCATGGAACTAATATTTGTCTGAAAGAGTCAAGTTATATAAGACCAGTATTAAAGCAGAACCACTGCTGATAATCGAGGGTTACACCAAACCGGGTGCTAGGAATTCCAAACGCCAATTGTCATTTCCATATGCTCATCAAGGGGGTATCATGCATGCTCATCATCTTCGTGCCATTATATTCACATCGCCACCTTCCTCGTCCGAGTAGGTTTGGGTAGCGTCCATGGTACGGCGCATACTTCCTAGAGTCCCAGGTTAGTCAGTTCTACCAGGAGATTGGATGGATGTGTGACAGCATACCTCTCCCTCGCTGTATGCCCAAAAGTAAACAGAGATCCCAATCAGATAGTAGATGGCCACATCCCCCGTCTGGTACATCATAGCCGCAATCAAGGCGCACAATGGGTATAGAGCCAGCCGGACAGCAATGCTGCGGTGGGGGAATGTGCCTGCGAGCGGCTTGAGAGGCCATTCCCATGCGATCGTAAACAGCCCCAAGAGCAAGTTCAGTATCTGAAGGATCGGAACCGGTGTGACGGCCCCATTGAGATTCTTGGAGATGAAATCCCAGAAAACCTTGGGCCAAATGAAGCCCTCGATTGAGCCACCGACTTGCCCTTTGGAGAGAGAAAAAGTCAACAGAAAAGATACAGCAAGGATAATGGTTCTCAAAAAAGAGAACACTTACAAGCTGCCGCTGTCAGAATGATGAGTCGTGCCCAGTGGTTCTTGATTAACCTGCCCATTGTGATTCTTGAATCTAATCACTCCGAGTGAATGCGGGGATATCTAAAAAAGAAACCCTCAAAAAGGCGGGTCCAAAACTACTGGGATCAACACGAGATGCCAGCCCGTTCATATATCGTCAACCGAAGCAGGGATCGTACCCAGGTATGACAAGAACGTCGGAGCGAGAGATAGAAAGCAATCCATTGTCCCGTCCTAAATGTCTGCCCACCATGGAGTACCTTCCTACCTAGGGTAGGTACCTACCTCAGGTAAGGCCATGGATGGTCACTGCACATAGTCCAGACGAGGGCTCTGAATGGTCAGCGTTGGACCTGCCCAGGTGATTTTCCATGGTCTGCCCGCCAATCATTGCAGGAGAAAGGCGGGTGGGGCCAGTGTGACAGCGGCGATACGTACAACGATTGGTCAGAACTCGCGACGCTTTGCCGCTGGGTAGACGCTAGGTCTGGTCCGTGCAGCGAATCAGAGGCCGTCCCCGTGTGACGACAACAGCCCAGGTGCATACTCGATCAGGAAGGAACCTGGGAACACGGCCCTGTTCCGGCTTGTTGACGCCGGTCCCGGGAAGGATTTTTGGGCGGTTGGGATCAGAAGCTCAACGTCTCTTGCTGTCACTGTCACATCTCGGGTGATATTTTACGAAGGAACCATCTTGGGTCACCACGTCTACTACATACGGAGTATATCTGTTCTCCACCTCAGATCGCGGAGAGACACCGAACCCAGCCTATTTTCAACGCTACAAACGCTACAGCGTATGGCTCTTAGCACAGACCAGGTTCCTGGGCTGAAGAGGGGCGAGTGAGGGAGTAGGTCCCTGTCTGGTCCCTAGTACTAATGCACCTACCCCAGCCACTGGCGACTTCGAACGGTGTGCATCGCCAGATGTGACCGGAGAAAGCGCCTGCAGAATGCGTCTTATAGGCCAGGTCGTGCTTTTTTTTTTCTCCCGTCGTCTCTCCACATGGTTCTTCTCGGCCATTGAGAAGCGATTGTTCAAGGTGTGAAATACCTACTATCGTGTTGAATCCTGCAAAGAGGCTGGCATAGGCTGACATTCGAGACCAAAATAGACCGTTGGCTCTTATCAACTGGGTATCGTACGGCGAACTTGATTGAGAGACAAGTGAGGCTGGCACATTGAAGTCTTGGAGATAATATGTCTGTAGATAAAATGACTCGGTGGCGGAGAGGCGCTGGCTCATACGACCCATCAATTAAAGGAAGGGAGAAAAAAGAAGAAAAAATAAAAAAGGGACACGGTAAAACCAGTCGAAGTTAAAGGGGAATCCTTTATTGGATAGAGGGATTCCTGGCAAGCTGCTGCCCAGGGAGCCTGTGCGGGAGGGGAGGTAAATATACAACCCCGTCCCCTCATGCGTTTGCCCTTGCTAAATAAGTCTCTCCCCTGCAGCCTAAGAATTCCACAGTTGTGGTAACAAAGAAAAAGCCCACTGTTTGCCAACCCCACGTTGCCTACATCCATCATAGACCTTGTCAAAGGGACCAACTACCACCTCGCTGCTGCGGAATGGACTGACTCGCTAGAGCCTTTTTTTTTGGAAGAAAGAAACACAGCAGAAGAAGCTTGCAAGCTATACGCGAGTCATCTCTCTCTTGCTTGACTAAAACTGCAAAATTGAAGCTACTCCGGAGCCATTTTCAGAATCCACGAAAGTCGATGAAGGGGATAAATCGATCTAGGATCCAACCGAATCAACTGCGTTGATCGCAGAAAGCTGTTGGGTTCTTCAAACTAAGCGGTCTGTTCAGAACGACGCCTTTTCATTGCGCAGTGAATCGATACATCAAAAGCCAGGCCTCCCCTGGCTAACGCCTATATACTTTCCTTACTACTCTCCCATCGGGCGTCCCTCATCATCTAATCCATCTCGCATCAGACCTGTGAGAGATTAAAATGGCGCAATATCCGTTGAAGTCATACTTTGCCCCCTCAAAACTTATATTCTACTTCCTTTTTTGGGGCCTCCACGTGGGTCTTTTTGCCCTAGGATGGTGAGCTATTTCCCAAATCCGTGTAAGGTCGATGTAAACTGACAACGCTTCCTAGGTATCTACAGGCGACAAACCAGAAATTAGCTGCTCTAAATGCGTTGAAGTTTTCGGTGTGGATCTCAAGAGGAGCTGGATTGGTGTTGACTGTTGATGGCGTCTTGATCCTTCTGCCGATGTGCAGGACTGTCCTTAGGTGGCTCAGACCCAAGATCAGGTGGTTGCCGCTTGATGAATCCGTCTGGTTTCATCGCCAAGTCGCATATGCCCTACTTCTCTTCAGCATCATCCACACATCAGCCCACTATGTCAAGTATGCATGGTCCCATTCTTTGAAGTTGCCTGGCCCCATCCGTGTGCTGACTTTTGATACAGCTTTTACAATGTGGAAAAGGATCAGGTCCGGCCCGAGACTGCCATCCAGATCCACTACACTCAAGCAGGCGGTATCACCGGTCATATCATGTTGCTGTGCATGATGCTGATGTACACCACTGCTCACGCCCGAATCCGCCAGCAGTCCTTCGAGACGTTTTGGTACACGCATCACTTGTTCGTCCCATTCTTCCTGGGTCTGTATACCCACGCCACGGGTTGCTTTGTGCGCGATTCTGCGGATCCTTACTCTCCATTCGCTGGCAAGGCCTTTTGGGACCATTGCCTAGGGTATGAAGGCTGGAGGTGGGAGCTGTTTGCCGGTGGCCTCTACTTGGCTGAGAGACTGTATCGTGAAATCAGAGCTAGGCGTGAGACCGAGATCATCAAGGTCATTCGTCACCCCTACGGTATGTTTGATTTTAGAAGGACTGCTTCAAAAAGACACGATTGTTGATAATGTTTCCAGACGCCATGGAGATTCAGTTTTCCAAGCCCAGCTTCCGATACAAAGCTGGCCAGTGGCTTTTTCTCCAAGTACCCGAAGTCTCCAACACGCAGTGGCACCCTTTTACCATCACCTCTTGCCCGTTTGACCCATACGTCAGTGTTCATGTCCGCCAAGTGGGCGACTTCACCCGGGCGTTGGGTGATGCCTTGGGTTGTGGACCTGCCCAAGCGAAGGATCTCGAAGGGCTGGATCCAATGGGCATGTACGAGATTGCGCTGCAAAACGGCCAAAAAATGCCCAAGCTGCGTATTGACGGTCCTTACGGAGCCCCTGCAGAAGATGTGTTCGAAAACGAGATTGCCATCATCATCGGCACCGGCATCGGCGTCACGCCCTGGGCCTCGATCCTCAAGAATATCTGGCATCTTCGATCTTCTCCTAATCCACCACGGCGCCTTCGCCGTGTCGAGTTCATCTGGGTCTGCAAGGATACCACCTCGTTTGAATGGTTCCAATCCCTCCTCTCCTCCCTCGAGGCGCAATCTCTGTCCATGGCAGAGACGCAAGGCGGGTCCGAGTTCCTCCGCATCCATACCTACCTCACCCAGCGGCTAGACCCGGACACCACCGCGAATATCTACCTCAACTCTGCCGGCCAAGATGTTGACCCTCTCACGGAACTCCGGAGCGGGACGAATTTCGGCCGCCCGAACTTCAAGCGGTTGTTCGCCGCTATGCGGGACGGCCTGCTCACGCAGGCATATATGACCGGCTTGAACAAGAGCAAAAGCGAAGTGGGCGTGTATTTCTGCGGGCCTAATGCTGCGGCCCGTCAGATTCGCGAGGCGACCAGATCCGTCTCAACAAAGCAGGTCAAGTTCAAGTTTTGGAAGGAACATTTCTAAACTAAACCCTAATTATTTGTATGGATAACGACTGATGAACTCATATTACCCCCTTTCTTTTTCCCCCCCTTTCATTCCTCTTTCTCATCTTTTTCCTTTTCTATTCCCTTGTTGCTGCTGTTGTCATCAGGTTTTGATTCCCCGGCCTATTTTGGTCATTACTCATGTCCTGTCCCCTGTATCAGATATGTAAATATATAGCAAAACGTCCCATCTTAATTTGGAGAAGATATGAAACAAAGCTATGTACAAGGAAATAAATAATCACTGCAAATTATTTGTATCCGTATCTTCTTCTCCCCCGCCTTCATCTTCTGGTAAATGAATCGGTGCATGCCCTTGACCACGTGAAGAAGATGGATGACGCAACCGCTCCTCCTGAACGGCGTCTAGGAGGGATTCGTCGATTTCGACATGGACTCGTAATTCCTTATCGATGAGAACCTGGTACACGCGCCTCAACTCCTCGAAGTGCATTCCATCCTGGCCCGCGGCCCTCAGATGGGAGAATGCCATGAAGAGCAGTCCCTTGGACCACGGACAGGCCCGCATCGCGCGGTAAAAGATATGTTTTGCGCGGCGGAGATCGTCCCGCGAGATTTCAAAGAGGATGTATAGTTTCCAGAGGGAGAGGTTGGAAGCGGATGACACGGGCGAGGACGAGGACGAAGAAGAGGAGTCTGGGTGTAGGGCCTTTTCGAACGCTGCACGCACGGAATGCAGCGTTGAACCGGCGTAGGTGGGGCGATGGAGCTCCGTATAGATGGAGAAGAGGTGGGTGGTGATCGGGACTTCGGTGGAAGAAAAAGAAAAAGACGAAGATGATGAAGAAGAAGAAGCAGTGGAGACCCTGGCTGTATGGGTGATCTTTCGGACGACGTCGCGGACGCGTTCTTCGATGCGGAAGCGGGACTCGTTCCATGCGAAGAGGGAGAGGAAGATGGTGTTATGCGGGAAGGAGGCGATGCTGTCGGACAGTACTGTTCTGATGAGCGTTGGCTTGTAGATGCTGCTGGTACGAATGTGGTGGTAGAGGAGCCTGGCACGGCCCTGCAGCAGGAGTTCGGTAGTGAAGGTGGCGTATGGCTCGGGTTGAAGCGTGAGGCGGGCCAGACCCTTGGTATACCCGTCCAGGGACTTGTCTAGGTCGCCTGAGTGAGCGAGGTAGGAGAAGATGGCGAGGCAGTCTGTCGCGGCTACGAAGACGGCAGGGCTCCCACGGCCCAGCGCCTGCTCTTGACTGTCTGCTAGAAACCTCTGGATCTGCAGCGAATTTGCGGGACTGAAAGTAATGCCCGTTGATGGCTCCGGTAACGATTTGACGTCGATGCTGTTTTGTGGCATGGACTGCAAAAGATACGAGGCACGAGACAGCTCTTGAGTTCCAAGGCAATGCCAGATCCAGGCGTGCCAGAGAAGAACACTGTCCGCCTTATCCGCGGCATTGAAGTTTTGGCTCATGGAAAGACTGGTCGCCCAGACGTTCTCGGCAGCCGCGCGGTTCCCTGACCGGCACTCTATCAGAGCGTAGCAGTTGTAGAGACGGAGGCTAGATGGCTTCTTCTTGAGAAGTGCTTTGGCATATTTCTTGGCTTCCTTGCTGTTGCACGCATACTCCACAGAGAGGGAATACTCTGCAAGGTCATCACGCGACGGATTTGCCTCGACTAGGAGTCGCAGGACTCTCCGAGTCCAGTCCGCGTCAATGTCGGATTCTCGCCCAATATTGGTCTCCCGCCATAGTTGTAATGAGGAAAACCAAGATCCGGAGCACGCGAAAAGGGTTTGGACGGTATGGATATAATTTTGGTGCGGGAAGCATGTAGGAAGTACTGCTGAACGTTCCAAGTCGCCTTCTTCGGCTTTGTGGAGCCACTCTTTCAATGTGTAGTCAGGGGTGTCGATTAGATGGTTTTGGAGAAAGTTGTCTCCCACCCAAGTTCGAGTGGTGTTGGTATTTCGTTGGGATATCAAGGGAGGCAGGTGGCAATAGTAGAGAAGAGCATCAATCAAGCAATCGGCTGCGTCAAGGGACCGGAAGAGTGACAGTGTTTCTTCCAAGTCCGAGAACAGGATCACCCTGAATGGATCATCAGATGGTTCGTCCAAGCTTCTGGCAGGCAAGCGAGCATTGCATATTCGTTCGTTCTCGCTCTCCGACCACGAGAGAAAGATGTCTTTTGGCTCAATGTAGCTTTTCATAACGTCGAGCTTCGGTTCGACAAAAGCCCTCTCTCTACTTTTCCAGCCCTTTGCACCGGCCTCTCCTATGCGAGGAATTTCAGATTCCCAGAACGTTGCGAAATCAGCCAGCGCTGTATCGGAATGGCCTGGATGGAAGAAGGTGAATTCAAGCAAGGCCTGCCAGAGTCCCGCAGAGAGCTCGGAAAAACCCGCTTCTCGCATGAACAGTGACATACGAAGAAACAGATAAACTTGAATCTGCGCCTTTTCCGGACGGTCTGAGCTTGAAGCGTTGAGCTTCATACACTCAAAGAAGGTGCCCAGGCATCGCTCGTATGTGAAATCCAGAAACTCTGTCTGACGGAAATCCAGATATTTGACCCAGAGACTGATGAAATGTGAGTGAGACTTCAGCACAGCCTGCCATTGTGCAGATAGCTTCTTCGTGTCCCATAGCTTTGCGCCCTCCTCTAGCCGGCCGAGCAGAAGCCGGTCTATTGTTGGATTCTGGCCGACCTTCTTCAAGGCCTTTTCGTAAAGGGAGAGCTTGACGTCCGCCAGACTCCTCTGCTCTGCGGAGCTGAGGACTCGTGACTCCCGTCCGGCGCCAAGAAGAAGCGTCTCTTGATGCTCGACGAGCTTTAACCAAGCGCCGACATCGTGAGGGTTCTGCTCCACAGCTCGAGTAAGTTCTGCATTCATCCGCTTCGCGTCCTCATCCAAGTCCATCCGTATACCCTGGTCCCCACTCGAGTCAATGTCAGATAACTCCTCAACGTCACTGGGCAGGTCGAGATCTGCTTTGGCCTTTCCCTCGATCGAACGGTATCCATATCTGTCATCTTCTACGCCGACGTCTCCAAGGATCTCTCGGCGGCTTCTGCTCCCAGAGGTCGAGAACGGCAGGAAGTCCTTTTCTGCATCTGCTATGTCGGACTCGGGCTCCTGTCGCACTCTCAAGAGCCTTGTTCCTTGCTTATCGACCTTCGATAATATGCTCCTCTTCTTTGTCCTCGACGCATCGGATCGCCAAGCACCAGTCGTCACAACCAGGGCGTCCTCATTGACCGATTCCCGATCAATCCTATAGCTCCGGGGTAGGCCTAAGATGAACCCTCGGCCAAATCGGTGATACCGAGGAACACTATACCGATGCAGTGTTCCATAGATCTTGTTGTGTATATCTCCCTTCCGATCAATGAAGAACAAACCCGGCTCGTCCTTGATTTCATCCCTCTTTTCCTTCACGGCCTTCACGGGCTGCGTCGGGAGAGGGACAGCCTCTGACTGCGCGTCATTCGCGCGTGTACGGGGCTCCGAACGGCGTCCATGGTCTCGCTCCTTTCGCTCCAGTCGACGTTCTCGAGAACCATCCCGTTCACGATGATTCCTGTGTCTCGATCGATGCCTGGGTTCCTCATCCCTCCTGCTAGAATCGCGACTCTGGCTGTCGTGGCGTCGATCTGGTCTAGGAGCTGTCGGCAGAGGCTTGAAGCTTGCAAAGCGTGGAACTGCCTTTTTCTCCTATCCCTCCCGAGTCAGCGTGTACCCTTACCATCGCTTGGGATTCACAAAGCATTAGAGACTCACCTTGGAGCCCGATGGATCCATGCTCCGGGCTTGCACTCATCGCGAACTGGAAGGTAACGTAACTTTACCAAGTGGAAGTGACGGGCGTATTATTGCGTATTGTAAGTTTCACTATGCCCAAACAGGCGCTCGTCTAGAGTTGCCGCTGGAAGCTCCGCGTGCGTCGCGAAAAACTTCCCTCCCTGATCCGCCCGTTTCGGGGTAGTTTGTCTTGTTTGCACTCGCCCGTGGCATCGAAAAAGTTGCGCCTACAAAAAAATATCCCGACCTGCTTGAGCTCCACGACGGTTGGAAGACAGCCAGTGCTTGTGTTTCTGTGTGCTCAGTCGGTGTTTCTTGGACTCCCAGGACTACCCGGGCATGGGAGAATCGGAATTTGTCTGAACGCGTCCAGTTCTTCACCCCGTTCACGATGTCTTCGCTCGCCGCCCAGTTGTCGCAGATTGCGGCACAGTCGACCAACGAGCTCGACCTCAAGGCGCAGAGAATTGCTCATTCAAAATCACTCATATTCGAGCAGAAGATTGCTACGTCGCAAGATTTTGATACCCTGTACCAGATCTGCTACGAAGGGTTCCAGGAGCTCTGTGCGTTGGATCCCCGATATGTGCCGTTCAACAAGACCATCTTCAGCGAACAGAGCAAGGCAGAAGACCGGACACAAATGAGTGCTGCCCAGAACCAAGAGCTGGATGTTGTGATCGAGTCGTTCCTGTCGCTAGTGGGTGAAAGATTGCAGTTGACGCCTGCCGTCAAGGCTGTCGAATGGCTGATTCGGCGGTTCCGGTATGCCGGTCTCCCCTGGGTGGACGATGCATAGAGATACTGTTCGTAAAACTAACGTTCTATGCTTAGGATCCACGAGTATAACACGGGGTTTGTGACCCTCACGTTCCTTCCCTACCACGATTCCAAGCTGTTCCTAAATCTCTTGTCGATCTTGCCGGACGATCTTACCCCGACCTTCAAGGCTCTTGCTCCGTACAAGCGAGGCTTAATCAACCCGCCTCGGCACCCCCTCATCCACAGTGTATCGACAAATAAACAGTTCTTCGCAGCTCTGAATAACTATGTGCTCCAAGTCTGTCGACAGCAGGCCCACCACCACGCGCTTATCGCCTTTTGGGCTACGGTGATGACGGAGGCGGTTGCCGGGATGCTCGATGCGGCCCGCTCTGGTCGTAGAGAGGCGGAGAAGGCAAAACACGAGGATATTCTGCTGCGTGTGCTCCCCATTCTGAGTGAGGGATTCACCATCAAGACTGCTTCGGAGTTGATCGTTGGCTGCTACATGATCACCGTCGTGCTGGCGCAAAACGCCTCGCTGGAGGACCATGTTCTTGACACCCTAATGGAAGCAGTTGTTGGATCGTGGACAGAAGAGACGGTCAACTCTGGCCTCATCTGCGTTGCTGTCTTGGCGCAGCGGAAGCCAGACGCAAGATTGCCCAAGAAGGTGTTCAAAGCAGTTCTCAAGTTGCGCAACGGAATTCAGCAGCTTTCTCAGATCTCCACTGAGTACCAGACGTCGCATTTGCTCCTGGGGCTCGTGGCAGGATGTATGGCGGACATCTCCAAGCAGAGTGACACGGCGCGCCAAGAGCTCATCTCTTCCATTTTCAACAACGGGTTACTCCAAGAGCAACAGATGGGGCAGGGAATGGCTATTGTTCTTCGAACAGCAGGTGATGCTCACAAGGCTGGTGGGCTGTCTTTGGAGGTTCAGACCTATCTCGCGGAGTTGATTGATAACTTTGGTCGATCGGAATCGCTGAAATCTATCTTCCAAAAAACCCTCGAAGAATCTTCTCTTGACGTTACGGCGATTGAGCAGAATCTGCAGACCGTCATTGAAGCCGTCCCGACCACTCGTGCCATTGAAGATGTCGAAATGGAGGACGTCGAAGAAGAGAAAGAACAGCCAGATACGTTCACGCCGGCTTTCGAATCCCTCAGTAGCGAGAAGCTTTTTAAGGGATCATTCCTTAGCGCTCAGTCAGTTCCCGGATTCGACAAAGCTGTTCAAACATTCGCTCTGGCTGTGGGCTTCCAGGATCGGATAGACAAGTTCACTGACCTCAAAGTACTGGGCAAGTCGGAGGCGACACAAGCACCTCAATTTCTGTCCTTTTTCATTCGCGTATTCTCCACCCCTTACCCCATTGGCACTCGTGCTGCTGCCCTCGGTGTCATCTCTTCATATCTCTCTACCTGCCCGGCGACAATTGATCCCCAGGCCCTATTGCCGTTCGTGTTTGCTACACTGGCAGATTCTTCTGAGAGAATCCGCCGGGAATCTGCTGGTCTACTTGCCATTATTGCTCGTCTGTTCAAGAAAACCAAAAAGGACGACAGCCAAGGAAAGCCATGGGCCCATGATTCTCTCTATGGGCCAGAGGCTTCAAAGCACATTTCCTGGCTTCCCACCCGTGACATGCAGAAAATTCTCGAACGCGTTCTGCTCCCTGGTCTTGAAGAGTGTATCTTTGATCCCGAACAGATTGGAAAGGTCTTGGAAAAGACCCTCAAGGGAGTCACGGATGACCCAAGCTCTGGCGATATCAAGAAACCCCTACGACTCAGTTTCTTCACGTTCCTCTGCTCGCATGCTGTGCATGTGCCACTGTACAATGTGAAACTGGCCATCTTGAAACAGCTGAACCGCGTCGACAAGGCGGGAGGAACCACGCGTACCAAGGCTTTGCAACCATTGCTCGAGCAGTGGCGCAAATTCAACGATAACGAGGTTAAGGAGATCTGTGAAAGAGAGCGTCTTTCTGCTTCGGAGGTCGAACAGGCGATCGTCTCGGTGGTCACTCCCAAGGAGAAGGATGCTTTCAACATCCTACTCTCTAACGTGGGCCCTGGCTCAGAAGTCTCGAGAGTGTCTTTTATCTCTGCAGTGTTCAATCGCGTGAAGGAAATATGGCCGAAGATCCCTGAGGATCGACAGCTTTTCGCATCGGAAGCGCTTTTGGATATTTCCTTGGGCATGACTGCTGGCACGTCGGCTCTCATTGACTACACCAAGGATGTTTTGCGTAGTGTTGTACTGCCGGGCAGCATCTTGCACTCCTTCATCCAGAAAATTCCTGTCTCGCTTACCGACGTAGAAGCTCTGGGACCTGCTCCCAAGAGGCGACGCACCAGCCAGAACAACATGGTTGCAATGACGGTCAAGGATGAGACTGAACTGAACAGACTGCTGGAGAAGATGACTTTTATCCTGGAACTCATCGACGGCTCATCTCCCGAATCCCACCCGCAACTGGCTGACGGCTTGTTCCAGACCCTGGCCGCCCTGCAGCACTTCAAGTCTCAGATCCAGTCTGGCATGAGCTACCTGCTAAGCCTGGCTCTTGGAAGCCTCTTGGCCATTGTGAACAGGTCCAAGGGCCTCCACAAGCCACAGTTTGACATCTCTGTCATCCGGGCGGATCTGGTCGTGGACTGCGTTCGGACGACTGAGAGTCCGCAGGTGCAGAATGTTGCCCTTCTCCTCGTGGCTGGGCTGTCGGTCATTGCTCCTGAACTGGTTCTCCATAGCGTGATGCCGATCTTCACATTCATGGGGTCCAACGTTCTGAGGAAGGACGACGATTACTCCGTCTCGGTCATTGACCAGACCATCGATCAGGTGGTGCCCGCCCTCATCCAGTCGCTGCGCAGCCAGAAGCGTGATGTGGTATCCGGCACGTCCGAGCTGCTGCTCAGCTTTACTGCTGCCTTTGAGCATATTCCCTCACACCGGCGTCTGCGGCTATTCCACGCTCTTATCACGAAGCTGGGTACGCAGGACTTCCTCTTTGCGGTTCTGGCCATGCTGGCCAACCGGTATGCCATGGACAAGGATGTTTTGACGATGATGACTGGCCTGGTCTCCGACCCGGATGTTCCGACCGAGCTCACTACCTACAGCAAGTACCTTGATCTGGTGACGGATGCTTTCCAACAAAAGCCCAGTATTTCACAGGTCCTGCTCGGCATCGGTAGTGACGATGGCCGGGAGCCGCAGAAGGTTGCTGTGGACCTGCTACGTGCATTGGCCCATCTCCTCAAACACTCGTCACTCAAGTCTAAGATGGCCAAGGCCTTTGATTCTGCGGACGAGGCCGAGGCCGGCGAGATCCGTAACCTCTTCTCTCGGATCCTTGAGCAGGTTTTGAACATCGGTGAATCCGTGCAGAGCATGAAGCCCGTGAGCCAGGCGTGTGGTGATGTCCTCAGTGCTCTGTTCGGAACTCTCTCGCTCATTGACTTCTTGGATACGATCGAGGTGTTGCTTGAGCGGCCCAACGATGAGCTTCGTCGCAAAGTGCTCCGCTTGTTGGAGACGAGACTGCGCCAGAGCCCTGAACGGGACGGCCCGTCCCAGACGAGAATCCTCGACTTCTTGCCGACACTGGTCCACATCGTACAGTCTTCGCCGGACATCTTGCTCAAGCATGCTGCCGTTGCTTGCATCGACCGCATTGCCGAGCAGTATGGACGCAAAGATCCTTCCAAGGTCATGGATGCCGCTCAGGTTGTTGCCGGGGAGGCTTGCATTGGCCAGGAAGACGATCGAATCCGTGTCATGGGCGTTCTGTGCCTGGCTTCCATGGCTGAGGTCCTAGGCCATGCAATGATCCCCGCCCTGCCCGACACGCTCGAACGGTCTCTTCACCTGCTTAGTCTCAGTTTGGAAGGAGAAGAAGGACAGGCCAACTCCAAGCTACACGACGCCGTTTTCTCCCTGTTTTCCTCCCTGTTTGTCAATCTGCCGACCATGGTCTCCGGGACGTATCTCGACCGGATCCTTCTTGCCTCGTTCAAATCTGCCGCGAGCGATATTGACGAGAGCAGCGATGAAACCCGACTGGATGCCCTGAAGGTGATGGCTCGAAAGGTGGACATGAGCGCCACGCTGGGCGCGATCGACCGCAACTGGCAGCATGCAGTGGAGGCCGGCCCCGCGGCGACCCAGGAAGCGCTGGAAGTCATCAACATCGCGATCGACAAGCATCCTAAGTCCGCGACGGTCAAGAACGTGAACTTGCTGACGAGCGTGCTCTTCAAGGCGCTGGATCTGCGTCGGGAACAGATATCGCAGGGTTCGCGGGCCGTGTTTGAGCTGGACGAGCTAGACGAGGTCGAAGAGACGGTGAACGGGGTGGCGATCAAGATGATCTACAAGCTCAACGACACGCTCTTCCGGCCCATATTTGTCAAGATGATCGATTGGGCGACTGCCGGCCTGCCAAAGAAGGACACACAGGGCCGAACGCTTCGGCTGACGACGTTTTACAAATTCCTGCAGGTCTTCTTCGGGACTCTCAAGGTACACAGTGAACCCCCGCCCTCCCCCCCCTTGGCTGCTGGATGAGGATCAAATACTGACAGGCCATTGATATAGTCCATTGTCACCGGCTACGCAAGCTACATTCTCGAGCACACCGTTGCGGTTCTCAACCAGGCCAGCCCGTTCGATAAGACCTCGAAGCCTCTCTGGGTGGCCACGATGCGCATGCTGCGTAATGCGTTTGAACACGACCAGGATGGTAAGCCATGGCGCCTCTCTAATCTAACTATCCTTCATCTTTACCCCATCTAACGCACTTTTTTACTGTTGTAGAATTCTGGCAATCTCCCTCGCATCTGGTACAGATCTCGAAACCCCTGATCTCGCAGTTGGCACACGCGACGACGAGCTCGATGGCGGCACTGGTGATTGAGGAGGCGGTGCCGGCGATCACGGAGCTGGCCACGGCCGCCGACTCGACGGACAACCACAAGGAACTCAACTCTGTTCTGATGAAGTTCCTGCGCCCATCATCGTCTGGCAAGGCATCGGCCGGCGGGGATAACCCGCACACACGCCTTGCAGCCCTCAAGACGGAACAAGCGCTGACCGAGCAATTGGGCGAGGAGTGGCTGGCTCTACTGCCGGAGATGCTACCGTACATCAGCGAGTTGTTGGAGGACGAAGACGAGAGCGTGGAGCGCGAGGTGCGGCGGTGGGTGAAGCAGATCGAGGAGGTTCTGGGAGAGAAGCTGGACGATATGTTGACTTGAGAACACAAATTTTGGTCCTACAAAAAGCGTATATAGATATTTCCATATTGAACTTACCATTCCAAGCATCCAGTAGCTTACCTACTTAGTACACCTCACTCACTGATAATCAAGCCAGACATGGAGTTTATTCTAGCGAATAGATAGTAATCTTTCACTGACTTTACCTATTCATAGAGGAGAAAGGTATACATTCAAAATCGTTAAATCATATCATTCACCATGTCCATAGTATTTCATTATGTAAAGATATTATATACTTAATTACTTTGTCTTGCTTTTGGGGTATCACTTCTGTGACAATAAAAAGAGGAAAAGAGAAAAGAGAATACTAGCATGCACGAAGACTTCTCTGTCTTGTATTCTCAGATGCCACCGAATTGACAACGTCAGTGTATTGTGGAGGAAACGCTGGCCGTTCAGCTTCTTCTTCTTCAACCCCGGTCCGAGGGGCCACGCTGCGTGGGGAAAAGAACTCCTCGACCTCTTGAGAGAGAGAGGCGAGGAAGAGGGGGTCTTCTTGTTCTGCACCAGTCAAGGGGGTGGTAGTGGTGGTAATGGTCGGTTGCTGTGAGCCCGCCGCGGTGATCTGCAGAGGAACCCGTAGTGAGACACAAGGCGAGAGAAAGGATGTGTTGGGGGGATGGAAAGATAGCGAGAGGTCGAGGGTATATGTGCGACTGATGATGCAGGAGTGGAAGGTTGGAATGAAGGCTTTGCTGTCTGGGAGGGAGAGCGGCACCACGAGGGAGGTGGTATAATACGTTGACGAGTTGAGGGCGGACGGTCCAGTCAGAGATTCCGTAGTAGAAGCAGAGGAAGAAGAAGAAAAAGAAGAAGGAGTCGAGGATTGGAAGGATGATTCAGAGCATAGCGATCCCTGACGGCTGGTTCGAGGAGTACCGCCGACTAGATTGCCGTGCTTTGTCCACTGCGCAGAGGCAACGCATAGAGAAGATAACGGGATGGTCTCCTGGTACATGCCCTTTCCGTACTGGGCACAGACCAGTGCGGACGAGGCGGACGGATAACTGGCCCAGGGTGTCCCGCTGTAAAAGGTCATCACCTTGAGCTTGCTCCAGAGCTTCCCTAGCGGCGGGGGTTGTTCGTCGCCGACAGGGTCGAAGCGGACCTGCACTGTTGCCACGCCGCCGGACTCCATCACCGTTCCCTCACAAGCGTGGAGCTGCAGGGGTGCGGGCTGGGCGGCGGCGACGACGATCCTGCCCAGCGCACGGCGCAGCAGGCCCCGTTTCACTACCTTCTCCTTGCGGGTGCAGTAGTCCCTTGGGTGGTCGGCGACAGTCAGCGGCGGCTCCTCCTCGATGGTGGGGATGATGCGGATCGGTTTCTCCACGCTTGCCAGTAGTTTGGATGAAACCTGACCGCCGTTGTTGTTGTTGTTGTTGTTGTTGTTGTTATTACTGTTCTCATCCTTGGTGACCACCGCCCGAATCATGTAAGCCACCTGTGCCATCTTCGGCGACAGGTCGTCGAGTGTCGACTTCCCGTCGCGGGCTATGATCGGGTCGCCCCCTAGCGAAGGCGGCAGCTGGGTATGTGAGTGGAAGATATTGATGTGGTCCTTGTCATGGTTGCAGCTCTGCGGCAGCATGCGCTCGGGAACAACAAAGGTGAATGGGAACTGGTAGACTCGCCTGCCTTCCAGCACCCGGGGAGTAGGATATTCGCTCTCGGTGATCGGCTGGCGAAGCTTTAAGAAGGTATGGAGCGCTTTTGCCTGCCCGGGGATGGGGTTCGCGCGTTCGACGAAGGTGGTCGCGCTGCCTTCGAAGGTGATCTTGATCTCATCGAAGGGGGTATCTGTCTCTGCCGTGATACTGACTTTCCCTTCGATTCGATCCAAAGTTGTGTAGGAGGTGTAGGAGGAGGGTTTCGCCACGGAGCCTTCCACTGACCGATCGAGCAGCTCGATCGTGATGGACGGCCGGGACCGTTTCCACTGCCATTCGGGGTTGGATATCGACATCTTGTCTGATGACAATTCCTTCTCTGAAGTTCTTCAATAACTGAGATATCTTTGGGTTGATATGTAGTAGTAGTATTGATGGTTAGTAAATAGTGGTTGTGGAGCCAGTTGATAGTGGGTCAACGCAGGATGAATCAAAGTAAGAGAGAACAGTCCATAGTCAATACGACTTTATTAGCCAACAATTGAATTAACATTTTTCAGTAACTGGTCGGCAGTTCTATATAGCATCTCTGTTGAAAAGAGTCAGCATGCTTAGACGAGAAATACGAGATGATCAATCAAGGTGACTCACCCAGTTGACGTAGATGACGAACCAAAAAAAGCAGATAGAAGAGATGATTGGCTCCCCCGGTCACGCCCTTTGAATGACAGCGAGACGAAGGGCGCGGTGGCTTCTGCCCTTCAGGGAATGTCAAAGCGGGCGCCACGGAAAAGTTTCTGCAGATGTGAAGGTATGGAGTAGACGGTGGGTATGAGTGGAGAGGGTTTGTCGAACTACTGTCTAGTTGGTGAAGGTACTCCATAGCCACGGTAACAAAGAGTACGGACTCGCGGCGGAGGAGCTGGCCAGTACCAGGCATACCTTCGATGCTAAATGGTATATCTAACTAGACTTTTCTAGCAGAATTGAGCTGGAGAATAGGGTAAGGCAGTTCTGTAGGATAGTTCTGCAGGGTACTACCGTACTATTTGGAGGAACCGGTCACTCGAGTAGTTTCACCAAATGTTCGGCTACCAAATCCCCGACCAGATCGTATCCGATATCCGTCAAGTGGAGTCCGTCGTCCCAAATATCCGACCGCTGCTCTTCCGACATACTATGGAAGGGAACCTTAGCGTGGAGGTCGAAGGAATAGCTAGGAGAGAATGAGTCAGAAGGTTGAGACCAGAGGAGATTGCAAGGAAAGCAGTCCAATCGAATCAATAACATCAACATACAATCCCTCCGCCTGATGGGCGAGGATGGCAGCATTGACTTCATTCCGCCGGCGGTCCAACACTTTATTCACCACCTCGCATTCCGGGATCGTCAGGGCCAGCACGCGGGCTCCGTGGCTAAGCGCAACGTTCCACGAGGCCTGGAGCCCCGTAAATATCTTTGACGAGTCATAGCCATATCCGAGATCACTAGCAGTACATAAAAAAAAAAGCACGAGCCAGTTAGCAGACATTACTCGATATGCAGGGTATGAATGAAATGTTCTAGAACGGGAAAGACGAAGAGAAATGGAGATTCCCTAACTTTGTGCCCCCTAAACAAATCACCCAATCGTAGGTTTTGCTCGAGACTGTCTTGTGTCAGTGACTCTTATTACTATCTTTTTCCTATCAGAGCACTGCAGCAATCTATTCCAGGGAGGAAGAATACATCGTGCTTGCATCCGAGCCAAATAACAGCCTGGCGGCGTGATGACCAGGTCACCAGAAAGGCCCTCAACGTCGACAGTAAAGGCCTGCGAGGGAAACGCGGCCTGCAGACGCTCTTTGAACCGCAGGGCGTACGGGTGGTATTCAAGGCCGAAGTGGAAGTAGCCGGCTGTCAGCGAGTTGCCGAAGCAGAGAATCGATATTGGATCCATGGTTATGTGTCTATGGATTGACAGTGGAAGATGAGTCGACGCTGTAGAGAGAGAGATTCAAAGTAAACAAAGATGAGGCTGAGATTGCAGCTACCCCGCTTACCCAATTGGGAACAAACCGTAGTCACAAATTGTACAACACTCACCTCAGGTTGGTCTCTCTTTACCTAAGTAATTCAGTAATTGGTATAAAATCCAGAGCTTAGTTGGTGCTGATTAATGTATAAATATCACCAGGTAGATAGTCAAGCTACCGAAAGGGAGGTACACGGTCTATATAGTAAGTAGTAGTATAAGCAGTAGTCATGCCTTGTTGCCTGAGGCTGCCAATTAGGGCTTCGGAGTCTTTGGCCGAAGATCATGGGTTCATGTATCGGCGGTTTGGCAGGTATCAGGGCGGCCAGAATAACTGTCGGCACACCGATTAAAATCTGGCACTTTAGATACACGCACTTTATAACATGAGATGAACTAATTTCTTGATTAACTAATCCCTATTCTCTAGGTGGTTCCCCAGGTCCCTCCTTACTGTACCTGGCACCCTTAGTATAGTAAGGTATATCAGGATAGTCTGCTTACAAGGGTCTATGGTAGGTATCTAAGAGAATAGAAATAAATTGCTTAGTCTCCTAGAGTCTAATAATGAGGTCCTATTTATCTGCCAGGTGTCAAGGTGTCCAAGGGGGATTGGCTTAGTAAGGGGCTTGGTAAGCGGCTAATAGACGGTATGTTGATATTACACCTTAGAGCCCAGAAGATCATTCTGAGGGTTAATTCTTATAGAAGAATGTGCTATGGCTATTCGACTGTTTCTATAGACTGACGGCAGTTTTATGGAACCATATGATTCTAAATCAACTCTTATAACCATTTTATACCTATCTTCTCTCGGTCAAAATACTAGTATCACCGAGGAGGTCGGCCAGACTCGCCGGAGGATCCCCATAACCAATAATAAGACTAATGAATTTAGGCATCCACTGATGGAATGTTTTATTTGCTGACTCTTGATTGGTTTGATCGGTTAGTCATAGGTTACTACCTAGTAGCTCCCATAGTCCCGAAGGAGTACATAGTTGGTTGGCATTGCAGGTGGCATCGTATAGCGTCAATTAAATCACTTTCACTCTTTTATCCTCCATCCTTCATCCTTCATCCTTTATCCCTCAATCTTCACTGCTTCAATATGGCCTCGAGAAGGACAACTGTCCTGCAGAAACGTTCGTTTCCTTACCTAGTACTTCAGTTACTCTACTAACTACTAGACAGGGTCCCTAGACTCCCTACTGGCCATCAGGCCATACCAGCAACTAAGGTAAACCGCCTTTTCTTCTTCCTCTTCCCCCTGGAGTCGTAAAAATAACCTCGAATGGAATCATCAGATGGAATAAAACTGCTACAGCAGTGACTACCGAACCACACACCCTCCAACAAGCCCAAGACCGTCTCGCCCGCCAACGTCTGCGTCGCCCCGTCTCCCCCCATCTCCAAATCTACAAATGGCAGGTTCACTCCGTCTCCTCCGCGATGGAACGCAACACGGGCCTCCTCTTCTCGGGCAGCCTGTACCTCTTCGGCATGTCGTACCTCGTCAGCCCGATGCTGGGGTGGGATCTGTCGGCGGCCAGTCTGGTGACGGCCGTCGCGGCGTGGCCTGTCGCCGTGAAACTGGGCGTCAAGTTCGCCCTCGCCTGGCCGTTCACCTTCCACGTCATCAATGGCATGCGGTACCTCGCCGTCTCGGGGGCAAAAACTATCGATAACAAGGCCATGTTCGTCCGGATTGCGTGGGGGGTTGTCGCTACGAGTTTCGTCAGTGCGGTCGGGCTGGTGGCTTATTTTTAAATCTATCAAATCGAGTTTATAAACAAAAAGTAATAATGTCATTCAAGTAGGCTGGAAAAATGATATATCGACTATAAATTACGATGATACCCGTGGTGATTCGGATAGGATCGTACTCAAAGATCGTCGAGTTTCTCTCGTCTCATGCAGAAAAGAAAAAAAAGCTGCATCCAGCTCAAGATCAGCCGAGGGGAGCGGAAGACCGAGCGAGGCAAGAGACATGTATGGAATATAAAGGGGGCTTTCTTTTTTGTCTTTCATAGGGAAATACTTCTAGAAAAAATTATACTGGATTGGAAAGCTGGAGGCGTTTCTATCAAATACTAGACATATAGTAGTCATTAATATGCAACCCTCGTCCGCATATCCTGGAAACGTTAGCTTGTGTCATTCATAAGTCTTCTTCATGCAGGGTAAAAGAGGCGTACCGAAATCTTCCGCTCGATCTCACGGACGGACCGATCCAGCTCGGCAGCAATCATCATCTTCTTATCATTAGGGAGCAAGAAGTACATCTCACATAGGTCGCCGTCAATGATCCCCTTGACGGGCGCGTAGTAACTGCGGTAAATCAAATGGTCCCGGCCAGCGAGAGGAGGATGTTGAGACGCCATCTGCATCTCCAGGCTCTGGAAAAAGTCGACGTCTTCCCGGCTCACAAAGGGCACAAACATGCCGATCGTCCCCTGGAAGCCCGTCCACACCAGAATGTCCCGGCCGCCAGCGACCAACTGCGTCTTGTGCAGCGTCGTCGGGATGTCCTGCGTGTAAAAGTGCAGCATCAGGTCCAGCCGGTTCGGCGTCCCGTGCAGATATCCCCTTTCATGCACCAGATGGGCGCCGGATCCGTCCTCGTCGGCCTCGTCAGACGTCTTCTTCGGGCACCGAACGACCCAGAAGTTTCCAAACTTGTCGCCGCCCGCCACGGTCTCGTAGTCCAGCATCGTGCTCGTCGTTGTCCAGCGAGACACCGAATCGTCCACAAAGGGGATCAACCGGTTCTCCTGGTACTTGTACACAACATACGTCACACTCTCCTGGACATCACTGACCACGATCCGGCTCCCCTGCGTCTGCAGGCCCACAATCAGCTTGGGAACGACTTGGGCTTGACACTTGCGGAGCAGTTGTTTCATGCCGAGGTCGTACACCCGGAGAGTCGATCCAATACCAGCCAGCAGGCGGCCTTGGAACCCAAGCAGCGCGAGAGGCGGCTCGTCGATCTTGGTCTTGTGAATAAACTCTAACTCTTTGCCGTCCTCCTGGAACCGATAGATGTGGATGAATCCGGCCGAATGGGAGCGTGGACTGACAGTCATATCCTTGCCGGTACCCACGACCAAGAATGTTTCGTCGTCCTGGCTGGAAAACGATACCGCTGCTATGCTGACAGCGGCCTCATTTTCTTCAAGTTCCAAAGTGAACACCACGGACTTGGTAATGAGGGGGTCCACGATTTGGATGCACGAGGCCCAGTGACCATTCGCTCGGGGATACCCAAAGTCCTCAGGTGGCAGGATGGCAGCTTCACCATTCTGAGCATTCGAATCTTCAATCAATCTAGCCCGGGTGGCAGGGGACAAGATATTGCTATCAGATTCAATGACGTAGAACAGTGGCTGCTCGGGATGCTTCACAAAACGACGGGGAGTGTACGCGAGCGGAATCGACTCTTGAAGCAGGTTATTGTCAAGCTTCTCAATGGAGAAGATCCTAATGTCGCCCGAGTCAGTAGAGACACACAAGCACATTTTTGAAAAGTCAAATGATAACGATGGAGGTGGATTTCAGTAGGAACAATTGGAAAAATAAAATATAAAAAAGTTTCCACATAGATATTCGGTATCCCGAGTTCATCATATAATCCAAGTATTGGGCGAGACAGGAAGGGGGGTGGGTGTAAGAGGATCACGTACCGAAGATTTTGGCCTTGAATGCCGACCATACCCTCAATGCATTGTTCACTGGAAAAGTTCCAACCCCATTCTAAGCCGACATAGTCCAATGGAGTCAGCATGAAGCCTTTGGTTTGGATGTCCGAGTAACCGAGCCAAGGACGGGAGCTCAGGGCCAGGACGGCGGTCTGGCCTTTGACTGAAACTCGGAACAGCTTGACCGGCTTTGCGCCGAGGAATCGTGTCCTAGTATCAGAAAGCTCGCCGGTGACCTCGTCGAGGACAGTGCGGAGATAAACTCCGGAATAAAGACCAATATGAAGATAGAGGGTGGTGCCTCCAGAACTCGAATCCGACATGGACATAATGTTCAAGGCGGAAGGGGCCGAAGTCAAAGCCTGCACAGACTTGTTCTCAAGAGTTGAATCCGGATCTAAGCTCAAGATTCGGACGGTGGAATCGTCGCACCCCACTGCAAGGAACGAGCTGCGGACGCGGCCTTCCGGGACCTCGCCTAGACTGAGGGCAGTCACGGTTCCTGACATTTGACGTCGCTCATCATACTCAGCAAGAGACCCATCTGCGTCCATCTCGAAATAGACAATCTCGCCCGAGCTCAAAGCCACGGCGACCTGACGTTCATTGGTAGCGGCAGCAACAATTGACCGATGCTGAGGAGCCGGCCATTCATTTACACGCCGGTCTGCAAGGATGTGGCGGATGCCTTTGGGGTGGACCTGGATCAAGGAGTCCTCGCCCAGCTGCTGGACAGCGAGAGTAGGCGCCGTGGAAAGAAATCCAGTGTCTGTGACTTCCTCCACGGTTTCCCCAATACTCAGAACCAGGGTGCCGTTGGCAAAGGAAAGAATGATATAAGCATCAAACTCATCGCTTCGGAGAATCTTCGTCGTCCATACGGCAGACGGGACACTGGGCAGTTCCGACTCAACAATCTCGGAGACTTCCAAGCCATGTTTGATGGTCCGGAAACTGCTTCGCGCACCCGTTCCGCAAACGCTGTAGATTTGGGGCGCATCGTCTTCTCCAAGATTGGCAATCTTCGACTCGATCAGAGGATTGAGAGAGCTGATCGTATCCACGAGATTTAAATTCTCGGATTCACGAGGCTGGAAAAAGACCGGTTGGATGGCGACGGTGGGATCGGCCGAGTTAGACTCACTGGAAAACTCAGTTTCCTCATCGTCGTCGCCAAGCTTTTCAAATTGATAGAAATGATGATTTCCGTTCTCGCTGGCGACATAGAGGAAACCGCTCTTGAGAATCAACAGGTTCGAGGCAACAGGGACTGTGTCAAAGTACTTGATCTTCAGTCTGCGCACCTCGCCGGTCAGCTGACCCTTCTCATCCTCAACCATGTCGATGGTGAGTTTGAAAAGATCACCATCCTCGGTTTGCAACAGGAAGAAAAAGGCTCCCCTCATTTTATGCATTACACCGGCGGTAATGCAGCGTTTCCGCTCGGGGTTCTCAGTAGCACCCATCCGACGGGGGATGGGCACCCGGAAAGCATCCTGGTTGGAGTGCCGATAAGTGACGCTGTCCTCTGCACAGACCAGGACACCGCTAGGTCCATCCGCGCCGCCCGGAACCTGAAAGAGGAGAGACGCCGTACGATCCACGGGATCAGTCCATTTTCGGACAACGTGGTTGAGACCGAGATCCAGTTCATAATAGACGAGGTGCTTTTCAACCTCTTCATAGGCCTGTCCCGTCGGATCTTGATCTGACTCACTGTAATCGACTTCTAGAGCCGCAAAGATGGGGTTTTCGTAGCCCACATCCAGAGAGATCATCGCAAAGACGAGCGTTTGAGGCTTGTGTGCTTCGAGGGGCGAGGAGATGGTCAGCTCAGCCTGTGCGTTGCGGTTAAGCACGTAGACGAGCTTGTTCTTCTCCACAGCGGCCATGAGACAGGCACGACCCTTGGGATCTACAGCCAGGTACTGGCCAGGAATCACCCGTCGAACACCCGACTTGCCAAAAGTCTCCAGATGGATTCGGCTGAATCGGTTCTGAGCAGGCAGATACTCAACGACGGCGATACGGCCGGAGTCGGAACCAATGATGATATAATCTAGAAACATTGATATATCTCAGCACAATTCCTCGAGTGACCTCTTTTTTTTTCACGCCAACGTCAACGTCGAGGACCCGGGCATGTCCCGTTTCAAGGGGCCGGTTCGGCAGAAAAGGATTGTGCTGCCCGGGGAGCTTCGACGAATCACTAAATTGACCTTTTCCAACACGAAGACGGGCCATGGTACATACCTTTGTTGCTTCCAGCCAGTCTGAATGCCGCCAGACTGCGGATGATGCCAAAGACATCCTGGGAGAAGATCGGGGTGATTTTCCCCTGGGTCGGATCCGGTCGGTGGATCGTCAGCTTCGATCCCGCCGCCGTCACAATCTGCTGCTCCCTGGTGCCAGCAAACTGGCCTAGGATGGCTTGCGTCACAGCAGACGGCGGCTGGATCGTCAGCGAGTACATAAACATATGCGAGGTGGTCGCCATGATGGGCAGAGGGCGTCCTCGCCAGGCAGAGACGCCGGCGAACGCGAATAGCAGTCCAAGTCCCCTTTTAAATGGGCCTCAATCCCATTGCTACATGCACAGAAACGATAGGGGAGGACTCTCAACAGGCTGAGCGTCCTCGCGGTGCCGGGGCTGGTTTCGCACAGGAACACACAAGGAAGGGGAGGTGTGGGAGAAACGCGTCGGCAGCTTCAGCTTCGGATGCAAAATTTCGCTTGCGCCTGTTTGTCCTGTTTGGCTGCTTCACGTGACTCCCCTTTTCTGCCTGAGGCGTCAAGGCGGACGATGGGTTTCTGCCGGCTTCTGTCAGTGTCAGCGTCTCAGGCTCGACCAGGCGGCGTCACTCCGCTCTCTTTCTCCTGCAACCACTCGCTCTGGACTGCAGCCGTGCCGTATCCAGTGTTTCTGGCCTTGACTGAGACAGAAAGGACCGGCAGTAGCATATTTCGTCGGGTCTCGGTCCCCTTCTGCGGCATCATTGCTGAAAGCTCGCCTGCCGCCGCTCCCCCTCATCACTTGCGCCCCCACGCCACCAGTTGCAGTTACGCAGGAATGGCTGACGATACCGCTCCGGCGGAGGAGTCCTCCATCACCTTCACGATCAAGTCGTCGAACGATGCCAAATTCTCCCTGACGCTGCCTGCGTCGACGTCGGTCGAAGAGCTCAAGAATATCCTGTCGACGTCGGACTATGCGGACACTCCGGCGGAGCGCCAGCGGCTGATCTACTCCGGTCGGGTGCTCAAGGATAACGAAACCCTCGAGTCGTATAAGATCAAGGACGGGCATACCATTCATCTGGTGAAAAGTGCGGCCAGCAACCAGCGGCAGGCGCCGTCGTCGCAGAGCACAGCAACCTCGGCCGCTACGGGTCCGGCCGCCACGGCCGCGCAGCCGACCGCTGGTGTCCCAACAAATCTGGCTGCTGGAACGGGCAATAATCCGCTGGCTGGCTTGACCGGTGCACGGTACGCTGGATTTGCCCAGCTCCCTGGTGCGGGCTTGTTTGGCCCCGACGGTGGTGTACGTACTACTTTACTACGTAGTCCCCCCTGACTGACCTGTGGGGTTGGGAGGAATTGCATTGAAAGCTGATATATCAATTTCTTCTACAGATGGGCCCTCCGCCGGACGCCGACTCCATGCTGAATATGCTGGAGAATCCTCAATTCCAGTCGACGATCAACGAAGCGCTCCAAAACCCCGCTATGATCGACATGATGATCCAGCAGAACCCGATGCTGCGCGATATGGGTCCTCGCGTGCGACAGATGATGCAGAGCCCCGAGTTCCGCCGCATGCTGACAGACCCCAACTCTATCCGCCAGATGATGCAACTTCAACGGGCGATGGGCGGGATGGGTGGTGTTGGGGGCGGTGCTGGTGCCTTTCCAGCGCCCGGGGTCACCAACACTACTCCCGAAGAGAACCGTGGCGAGCAACAGCAACCGACCAACACCGGAGCGGCCCCTACCCCCATGTTCAACCCGTTCATGCCGCCTGCCATGGGCGCCGGTAACCCGTTTGCGGCCCTGTTTGGCGGCAATCCCAACCTGAGCACCAACCCGTCCACCGCATCGACCACGACCAGCGGAGATCAGGCGGAATCAACACAACGGGCCGCCGGCGGCACGACTACAGGTGAAGCGCAGCCTCCGCAGAACCCGTTTGGATTCCTGCTCAACCCTGCCATGTTCGGTGCCACCCCGAACCCGGCGCAGACTGGCGGCCAGGCCGGCCAGACCGGCCAGGGGACCTTCAACCCCTTCAACCCGCAGCAAAACCCGTTCCTGCAGGATCCTGCCTTGCTCTCCCAAATGATGCAGAACATGGGCGGCGAGGCTGGCGCAAACCCCTTCGCAGCTCTCTTTGGCGGCGGCGGCGGCGGCGGGTTTGGAACTCCCCCGCCTCCTGACAACCGCCCCCCAGAGGAGCGATACGCAGAACAGCTCCGGCAGCTCAACGACATGGGCTTCTACGAATTCGAACGGAACGTGGAAGCGCTGCGTCGCACGGGCGGCAGTGTGCAGGGAGCGGTCGAGTACCTACTGAGCCATCCCTCATAAGAACCGGGACTTTAGAGCCTCCTCCCCCTTCCTTCCCCCCTCTAAGATTTCTTCTTCTTCTCAATTTCCTCACGAGGATGACGGTACCCCCTTCATTTTCGCCCCTCCCCTTTGCGCCTTCGCCTTCTTTTTCCTCACCCCCCCCTCCATGAGCCTTCTCTATTTATTAGTTAGTCGTTGGCGTAATCCGTGCCCGGCTGACCGTCCTCTCCTTGCCCAGGATGTGACCATTCAACCATTCATTGTATCTTATTTCCTCTTACTATCTCCCTTTTTCTCAATGTAGCATCTGGCACCACGATATGATGGCGATCGGCAGCCAACTGGCTGCTCTCGTCGTAGCGGCAACGATTAACCTCGGGGACAGCCTGGCTTTTATCGATAAAGTATTTGTTTATCAACTCTAATACTCACAACAATCCACTGAGATCCTTTCTGTCTCCAAGTACTATAGTAGTTCATTCTTAGATACCTGCTAGCTCCTCTTCATGACGCGTGGAGCTTTCTGGAAGCTGGCAAGCCTGAACCCCCCCCCTGGGATCTTCCGCCCTTGAAACGCCCGCCCGCCCGTCCTTAGCTATTTCCACCACAGGGCGTTCGTCAGCCAAGCCAAACGACAATCCACCGACGTCCTGTGCAATCCTTTTTCCATCCCGTGAAGAAATCCATCTATACAAGGCACTCGCTGCCGATTCCACTCGTTATATCCTGCCTCGTGTGCTGTGGGCACGCTGTGCGGGTCAAGCTGCCACCTTTGTCGTCCCCCCTGCTGTTGACAGATCGCAATCCGACCTGCGCGGTGTCCTCCCTCGCAGCGGGAAGAAAAAAAAAAAAAAAGAGGCTGCCTACTATCGACTCCTCTCAACCGGCCAAACCCCCATCCTGACGTTGATAAGCTGCATCGTGAGCTGTAGGAAGGGAGCTGAGAAAAGGCGGTTGAGCTGAATAGCTACCTAATCTACTGCTCGCTGTCCGTGGCTACCGACCGTCATCGGATCAACGTGGCCAACCCTTTCCCCCCCTCCCCCAGCTTGAGAGTAATCTCCCTCCGCTTGATCCATCCCGGCTGCACGTCTTGCATGCATTTCTGGTCGACCGCGGTGGGCTTCTGAGATCCGCGTCTTTCGTCCAGTAGGCTATGGCTATTGCGTGGGCCTTGCGTCCACGGCGGTGGGCGCTCTGGTTGCTGCTGCTGGTCTCCTGCGCCCGAGCGTTCTACATCCCAGGTAGGTGGATATGGGGGAAAGATTGGCTGTTGAAATAATAGACGAGGATATATGCTGAGGCTGATTTGTTTGATTTGTCTTATAGGGTATTCGATTAAAAGCTATCGAGACGAGGAGCCGATCCCCCTCCTGGTAAACAAGATCTTCTCCGACCACACCCAGCTGCAATATGCCTACTTCGATCTCCCCTTCGTTTGTCCTCCGAGTGGTGAGAAGCACGGCGGTTCGCCGTTTGGATCGGGCCAGAGCGTCTCCCTCAATCTGGGCGAGGTGCTGCGTGGCGACCGGATCATGACGTCTGACTTCGAGCTGCTCATGGGGAAAGACGTGCAGTGTCAGGCCCTGTGTACGCAGGAGGTCGGCCGCCAGGATGTCAAACGGGCTCGCCAGTTGATCAAGCAGGGCTACGTGGCCGAATGGATCGCGGACAACCTGCCAGGCGCGACCAGTTTCGTCACCGTCGACCGCAGCCGCAAGTACTACGCGACGGGGTTCAAACTGGGCTACCAAGATTTCTCCCCGGCGGATGGCAAGCCGCGGTATTTTATCAACAACCATTTCACCATCGTCATCCGCTGGCGGAAAGCTCCCGGGAAGGCGGGCGATGACGGGGGCAAGGCCGTGGTCGGCTTCGAGGTCTACCCCAAGAGCATCGCCGCGTCGGAACACGAGTCCAAGGGCTGCCCCAAAAACCCACATGACGATCACCTGGGCCTGGAGCTGAACCTCCCCTTCGACATGGCCAAGCTACGCGAGAAGTATCCGAGCTCTTCATATATTCCGGAGGAAGACGACGATCTGGACGATGGAGCCACGCTGAAGATCCCCTACACGTACTCGGTCTTTTTCCAGGAAGAAAACAACGTCGAATGGTCGAACCGGTGGGACCTTTACTTCAGCAACCAGGAGGAAGGCTCCATGACGCACTGGCTAGCCATTCTAAATTCATTGACCATCTCCGGCGTGCTCGGGGTGACGGTGCTCGTGATCTGGAGCCGGACGGTGCAGGGCGACATCAAGGGTCGCGGCGACGGCGCGATGGAAGACGGAAAGCTGAAGCGGTCATCAAGGACCAAGTTGCCGAACAAGGAAGGCCTCCTCGACCAGAGCGCCGCCGATGTCGAGCGCGACGGCGATCTGTCGTCTGACGACGAGGCGGGCGAGGACATGACCGGCTGGAAGTTGCTGCATGGCGACGTGTTCCGCGTGCCGGCGTACAGCGGCCTACTTGCGCCGCTCGTCGGCTCCGGCATGCAACTCCTGTTCATGGCTGCGGGTCTCTTGCTGCTTAGCTGTCTGGGGGTGTTGAACCCGAGCTTCCGGGGCGGCTTCGTCAGCGTCGGCATGGGTCTCTTCGTCTTTGCCGGGTTGTTTTCCGGATATTTCTCGGGCAGGCTATACAAGACCTTTGGAGGAGTGAACTGGCGCAAGAATACCATCATTGTGAGTACAGGTCTTTCCCCTCCTGCTGGCTAAGGCTGTATGTTTGTATATTAACACCTGTGCGCTCTAGACTGCTCTGTTCTTCCCCGGCCTGACCTTCTGTCTCGTCTTCATTCTGAATCTCTTCGTGTGGGCCCAGGCGTCGAGCACGGCCATCCCGTTCGGTACCCTGGTCGGTCTCCTCGCGCTGTGGCTGCTGATCCAGGTGCCCCTGGTGTATGTCGGCAGCTGGTTTGGCTTTGTGCGTGCCACGGCGTGGGAGCACCCGACCAAGACAAACTCGATCCCTCGCCAGATCCCGCCGCAACCGTGGTATCTGCGCGATACGTACGGCGCCGTGCTGACCGGGCTGGTGCCTTTCGCCGTGCTCTTCATCGAACTGCTCTTCGTCTTCAAGAACTTGTGGCAGGACAAGAGTGGCTACTACTATGTCTTTGGCTTCCTGAGTGTCGTCTGCACCATTCTGATCGTCACCGTCAGCGAAGTCACCATCATTGCAACATACAGTCAGCTCTGTGCCGAGGTATTTTTTTTTCCCCTTCTTTTTCCCCTCCCTTCTACCTGCCAAAAAATGCCACTAACATATCAGAATTACCATTGGTGGTGGCACAGCTTCCTGACCGGCGGCAGCAGCGCGTTCTGGGTGTTTGCGTATTGCATCTGGTACCACTTCTTCAAGCTGCACGTCACCGGGTTCGTGTCGAGTCTATTCTTCTTCAGCTACAGCTTCCTTGCCTGCGCGGTCTACGGACTGTTGACGGGCACGGTGGGGTTCCTGACTGCCTACGCGTTTGTGCGACGCATGTATAGGTATGTAGACCTGAAGAAACCTTACCCACCTACCTACCTCCCTTTTCTGGCCCTTGAGCCCTTGCTAACTTCCACAGTGCGGTCAAAGTGGACTGATGTAGACTGACGTATACGTCTATACTTCCGACACACTATAATTACCCACCCCTTGTTCTCTCCTCTTCCTCGCCGTCTGCTCGTTTTCCCACTGATCCACTCTCTTTTTTTCTTTTTCTTTTTTCTTCCTTCTCTTTTTTTCTCTCCTTTTTTCTCTCTCATATTCGTCCTCCAAAAAAAAACGGCGTTGGTCTGTTCCCCTCGTTTCAGTTTCAGCTTTCCCGTTCCCTCCTCTCCTTTTGTCTCGTTGCGATTGTGCAGATTAGCGCTCCCAACCGTCGTTTCTTCTCTCTGCGTTTCGAACGCAGGGAATGGGGTTTGGGCTGTACCATCCTGCCCCTCTCAATGGCTGCTGGCTGCTCTTGGGTTTCTTGGTATTATTCGGGGAGGAGTGAGGAACATGGCGCATGTTGGAAGCATAGAATGTTATCATCTTGGGCACAGCTAGTAAAAATAACTAGTATTAGTGGTCAAGTATTGATTTTTGTGTCTTTAGTTTCTTCTCACTACTCCGTACTACTGTAGTGGCTGTAGAGGCTGTCATATGGTATATGCCTGGTGCAAGGGGCATACTCGGCATCTGACATATCTTACACACCTTCTCTTCTTTCTTTTTTCTTTTTTTAATGCCAATTGTCAGCCAAAGCACAACAGTGATGTGACTTGAAGAAGCGGTGAGACGATAAGAGTGGCTGGCTCATACTCTCTATACAGAGTACCGAGGTATAACTAACTAGTACTATTTACTAGTTCACTAGCTACAGTACATATTACCCAGGTATAGTTACACTTGTTTAATATCTGGTAACTAGTAAGTAGTTAGTTAATACCTTCCCCAGACTTAATAACTGACTTTCCCCATAATTCGGTAACTAATGTAGAGATCGAGAACCAGTGGATCTTGATGAGCAGTGAAACAGGGGGATGACGTGCTAGTGAGAAGTACTATGTACAGAGTAGTGTGGAGTACATGAGGCAGGTTTATTGATCATGGACTGATGCAGTATAGAGTGAATATAATGGAATTTTATATGATGTAGAGTAGGTACTCTGTACATAATGTATGGTATTTATGCCTACTCTATACTAGATTAGGTACACCATGGCATCAGATGATAGATACTCCGTACTCCGTACAGTCTGATCAGGTAGGACAGTACATGGGGATACTTCAAACAGTATAATATTTTAACCGTGGATTTTGTACCAGTAAGTACTACCTAAGTACCGCTGATTAGAGTAGTAAGCATCAATCCTATTGGCCAATGGATGATCTCAACTTCGGTATTTCTTATCCGGTTGCCACACGCTAAACCCGACTGGGGCGGAGAAAAGATACCGCCTCACGTGCCTGTGGCCCAGTTAGAACTTAGCAGTTGGCACTGGGCAGTGACTGATGGCCCAAAATGGTCATGGAATCCATTCTCCGTCAGATTCGCAACGGATGGACTGTCTTGCTGTCTCAGGAAGTCGAGTCCTTGCAATTCTTCGCTACTCCGAGTTCCAGATCCATACGAGTATCCTAGTAATTAGATAGGAGTCCACCTAGAGTACCTACTAGGTATACTCCTCTATGTTCTAGAAAACAGGTAGGAGGAGGTAATCCTTATTGATACAGCGTAGGTATCCGCTAGTCCCACTGAGGCAAAGTCTGATCACGACATCGCCAGCACCGATGGCTCAATCCCCCGTGATACGTCAGCATGAGACCGCTTGCAATCTATTCGCCCTCTAATTGGCCTATACTGCTGCATGGTATCCGGGGCTTACCTTATCGGTTTTGCATGGAACCGAACAGGGGTCTCGTGCCCTGGTCACTGACTATCACTGGTAAGGTAAGGTAAGGTATTCTCTCTCTCTCTCTCTCTCTCTCTCTCTCGCTTCTTTAACCTCCTTCCTTTCCTTTTTTCTTCTCTCCTTTTCTTCTCTCCTTGTCTGACTGCCCCCTCTTCACTCAAGCAATATACGGAGAGTATTGATCGAATCTACTTCATCATGACCACCAAGAAGCCCAACATCCTGTACATCATGGCCGACCAGATGGCCGCGCCGCTGCTTTCGCTGCACGACAAGAATTCCCCCATCAAGACCCCCAATCTCGACCGTCTGGCTGCCGAGGGGGTTGTCTTCGACTCGGCCTATTGCAATGCCCCGCTGTGTGCTCCCTCACGCTTTGTTATGGTCAGCGGCCAGCTGCCCTCCAAGATCGGCGCCTACGACAACGCCTCCGACCTGCCCGCCGATACGCCCACCTACGCCCATTATCTGCGTCGTGAGGGCTACCATACTGCTCTGGCGGGCAAAATGCACTTCTGTGGTCCCGATCAGTTGCATGGCTACGAGCAGCGTCTGACCAGCGACATCTACCCGGGTGACTACGGGTGGTACGTCAATTGGGATGAACCGGTATGTCAGGAGCGATGAATGACTAGAAAGGCGTATGAGCTGATGTTTTTTTTTTTTTTGCGCTGTTTCAGGATATTCGAGCCGATTGGTATCATAACATGTCTTCTGTCATGGAGGCCGGACCGGTGGTGCGCACCAACCAGCTTGATTTTGACGAGGAGGTCATCTACAAGTCCACCCAGTACCTGTACGACCATGTGCGTCATCGCACCGGACAACCCTTTTGCCTGACCGTCTCCATGACTCACCCCCACGACCCTTACGCCATGACCCAGGAGTACTGGGACATGTATGAAGACGTGGACATCCCGCTGCCCGAATTCCCCGCCATTCCACACGACCAGCAGGACCCCCATTCGCAGCGCGTCCTCAAGTGCATCGATCTCTATGGCAAGGAGATGCCCGAGGAGCGCATCAAGGCCGCCCGCCGCGCGTACTACGCCGCCTGCACCTACGTCGACACCAACGTCGGCAAGCTGCTCAAGGTGCTGGACGCCTGCGGCCTGCGCGACGACACCATCATCGTCTTCACCGGCGACCATGGCGACATGCTGGGCGAGCGTGGCCTGTGGTACAAGATGAACTGGTTCGAGAACTCGGCCCGCGTTCCTTTCATCGTCCACGCCCCGTCTCGGTTCACCCCCAAGCGCATCCCGGAGAACGTGTCGACGATGGACCTGCTGCCCACCTTCGCCGAGCTGGTCGGCGCTCCCCTCATGGCCGAGCTGCCGCTCGACGGTGTCTCGCTGGTGCCCTATCTGACCGGCGGCGAGGGCCTCAAGACCGACACCGTCTTGGGCGAGTATATGGCCGAGGGCACCCAGGCGCCCATCGTCATGATCCGTCGCGGTCGCTGGAAGTTCATCTACTCGCTCATCGACCCACCCATGCTCTTTGATCTGGTCGCCGACCCGCAGGAAAAGGTCAACCTGGTCGCCGGTCTGCCGGACCCGTCGCGAGTCAAGGCTGCCGGTCCGCCTTTCAAGTCGGCCTCGGCCTCGGCCGCGACGCTGGCCATCAATGCACACCTCCCCACGCCCGACGAGACGCCACACGTGTCGCCCGTGCCGCAGCGTGGGGTCTCCTCGTTCCCCTTCCCGACGCCGCCGCGCACCCCGAGCCCCGCGAAGCTCTCCTCGCCCCTCCCGGAGACCTCCGACCCAGTCAAGCTGCTGGCCTACTTTGTCGACGAGGTGCACGCCCGGTGGAACCTCGAGCAGCTCCACCAGGACGTCTTGCGCTCCCAACGCCGGCGGCGCCTGGTCTACTCCGCGCTCATCAAAGGTGTCCCGGACATCTGGGACTATGAGCCGCGCATCGATCCCAGCACGCAGTACGTGCGCAACCAGGGCAAGGGGGCGCTCGACGACGTGGAGATGATCTCGCGCTGGCCGCGGATCTTGCAGCAGGCTGCCAACGGCCAAGTTTGATCGTTTCTTTCTGTTTATCTCATTCTTGTCATTCCCTCGTTTGCCTCGTTATTCTTCCTTCCGGTCTAGGGACTGAGCTCCATGTGTTAGCGGTATACCCAATTGGCATAAAAGCTTGTACACTGCATATGTACATGTTTATTTTGGTTATCACATCTTCTAGCCTATCTAGTCTATCTATCTAGTATAGTAACTATCTAGTATTGTATTAATATTAGTCTAGTATCTATATCTGTAGTTATCTACTACTAACTAATCTGCAGAGTATGACTAACCCGCGTCCATTATGTCATAAACGTCACTCACTACTCAACCACCAAGAGAAGCACACTACCTCCTACCAATACCTACACCATGCCCCGAATCACAGTGGGCGTCGCCCAATCCCGCACCCAGGACAGTCCATCCGCGACCCTGGCCGCTCTGGAACGCACCACCGTGCACGCCTCGCACCGCGGCGTCCGACTCCTGCTCTTCCCCGAAGCGTATCTCGGCGGATACCCACGCACCTGCGACTTTGGGGCCTCCGTAGGCGCTCGCGCCCCTCACGGCCGCGACCAGTTCCTCTCCTACTTCCACTCAGCGATCGATCTAGGCGACACCCCCCGCGGCGCAGGCGACGACTGGGTGCACCGCCGCCTCCCGCTCGCCAGCGGACGCGACCACCGCGGCGACGGCACCCGGGAGACCCTCGAACGGATCGCACGCGAGACGGGCGTCTTCATCGCGACGGGGATCGTCGAGCGCGCCGGAGGCAGCTTATACTGCTCGCTTGTCTATGTGGATCCTCACCGTGGCATGCTCGGCAAACGACGCAAGGTGATGCCCACGGGCTCGGAACGGCTTGTCTGGGCGCAGGGCGCCGCAGAGACCCTCAAGGCCGTCACGGCGGAGATTGACGGCGTGAGGTTGGTTATCGGGGGGGCCATCTGCTGGGAGAATTATATGCCCTTGCTTCGTCAGAGTCTGTATGCCCAGAACGTCAATTTGTATCTTGCTCCCACCGCGGACTCAAGGGATACTTGGTTGCCTCTTATGAGGACTGTTGCGGGCGAGGGCCGCACTTTTGTTCTTTCTTGTAACCAGTGTGTGCGTTATGGTGAGTTGCCGGATTGGGTGAAATCTTCTTCTTCTTCTTCTTCTTCTTCTTCTTCTTCTTCTTCTTCTTCTTCTGCTCCTCCTCCTACTTCCAGGCTGGAGAGAAAACACTCCGTCACGGCAGAAGGTATCCATGAAATCGTCTGGCCGGATGCACCGAGCGGGCACATTGAAAAGACCGACAAGACCGACAAACCCGACAAGACCGTCCAAGATCAGTCTAGTAAGACTTCATCTCTCTATATAGTACACACACTAATAATAGGTTACGTCTGCCGCGGCGGTTCCTGCATCATCGGTCCGTTAGGCGAAGTCCTCGCAGGGCCTATCTGGGAGGTATGCACGGATGACAACGCCGGTCGTGAGCCGGCTACAGGCGACGGTCTGCTCGTCGCCGAGATCGATACCGAGGATTGCGAACGGGGCCGCCTCGATCTCGACGTGGCGGGCAGTTATTCGCGGAGTGATGCGTTCAAGTTGACTGTGGAAGGGTTAGATTTGAATCCTCCTCCTTGACTTTACTGTACTTTGGCGCTATAAGTACTCAATTCAACTCAATACAATGCAATCAATATAATGAATATCAATTATACCTGCTGTACCTCTATACTAGCTAGTAGCTACACATACACTGGCGTCTTGGCCAATACGTTTGTCGGTCCCCTCCCCCGCACCTCGACATGCACAAACGTCGCCAGCCGGACCCGTTCGGTCCCCGAATCTGCCTCGTCGCGCTCCTTGTCCTTGGCCAGCGCCGACGACGGACGAGCAGTTGCAGGTGGCTGCTCGGCAGGAGGTGCGGACGGCGGGGGGTTCTTCTTAAGGCTCCCGCCTCCACTGCTGCTCCCCCCACCCCCGATCAACGAGCCAAACACTGACTTCTTCTTGCCCTCCTTGACGGGAACAGTGGGCGCACTAGTAGTGCCCTGGGACTGGGCGCTATTCTCCGACGAGTTGCGGCCGCGTTCGAGCTCCGTGGCCGGAGAAGCACCGTCGTCTTGGAGAGTGGCATCCCCCGCGGCAGGGTCGGCCGGCTGCACGGCTGTCGTCAGCGGCGGCAGGCCCGTTTCAACCTTCATGCTGCGTTCCGAAACTGGAGTCCCGGGCAGGAAGTACTCGACGCAGATGTCGCGGGACTCGAGGGGGATCTTCTCGGCGATGTTCATCGAATTCTCCACGATCATCAGCGCGGCGTTGTCCAGTTCCGGTGGTGGAGGGGTCACCAGGTGCATCGCCAGGCTAGCCACCAGCTTTTCGGCAAGATAGTGGATGAGCTGGGCCCGGTGCTCCTCGGCGGGGGCACCCTGCAGCGCTTCTGCCAGGCCATCGAGCGTGGTGCAGCGCCAGTTGGAGATGCGCGCAACAGCGTTCTCTTTGTCTTCATCCGTGTAGGCCTTGTTGCCCTGCTGGCGGCGGAGGTTCAACTCGATCGTCTTGAGCTGCATGCTGAACGTGGGGTCCAGCGCCGGGTGGAAATATCTCTGGAAGATCTCGTCCACCAGCCAGCGGCTGATGACCGCTCGGCCGACCGCCGTCATCTCCTTGCCCTGGGCGTCGCTGTTGACGTGCGCCTGCAGCCACGTGGGGATGTCCGTCCATTCCTTGCGGATGGAGAACGCCAGTTCCTTGATGGCGCCCTCTAGTCGGCTGAACCGGTTCGTGTACTCGTTGTCATCCAACACGGTGCGTGAGACGGCCATGCGCTGGTGGGCAATCGTGTTCTGCAAGTGCTGTACCTGGGCGTCTTTTTCATAGTAAAGCCGCTTGACCTTGGAGTATTTAGATTCTAAATCCTTTAGCATGTATCATGATTATCAAGAAGAGGTATGGAAGAAGAGAGAGAGAGAGAGAGAGAGAGAGAAACGTACGCAGCTCTTCCTGCTTTTGAGCCAAAGCGCGTACATCAATCTCACTGAGGTCGTCGCGACCCTTCCCTGGCGGCGGGGTGCTGGAGGCCGAGTCCTTGATGCTCTGCTGCGAGGCATTGGGTTTAGATCCGGTATCTGGATGATGTCCTTGAAGATACAGCGAATGGCTGCCCTGGGTCTGGCCTGTTTGATCTGGTTGGGGCGGCCGCATCCCCGTGGGACGGTCCGATGGTGCGGTCATTATGGGCGTCACAGGGGCACCCGGGTCCTTGTATCTGCGGTCTGAGTACGAATATCCCGGTGGAGCAGGTGATGACGGTTCCAGCGAGTGCTGCGAGGCAGGCCGACCGGGGTCTAGCTGCGTATACTGGCGATGTCGGTAGCTTTGCCCAGGTGCCGGCGCCGGATATGTGCTGTGTTGCTGCTGCTGTTGTTGTTGCTGAGAGCCGGGCCGCACAGCGTCCGGTCGTGCGTCTGTATGATGACGAAGATAACCTTCTAGCACGGTCGGATCAGTATTGGAACGTTGGACAGAGGACACGCGCGGTGGGGGATCCCAGGAAAACGACTGCGTGCCTTTGGGGGATGAAAACCCCGCTGAAGGTGGTTCAGGGGCCTGCTGAATCTGAGAAACAAGGCTGACGGTGGACTGATTGTTGACTACCACATGCTCCAGCCGGCCGGCCACGCTGCTATTGGGCGAGACGGTCGCACTGCTCGACAGATCCTGAGTCCGGGGCGAGGTCTCGACAGCAAGCGAATTCCCCGGTCGGGCAGAGCGTCTTGACGACGTCGATCTCTTTAACGAGCGGTTGCGTTCCAGGAAGCCCTCACGGTCCCGATCCTTGTCCTTGTGTGACGAAGAATGCAGCTGAAAGATGTTCCGCTTCGACTTGGTCTTGCCACTGCTCGCCGACGACGACGAGGTCGGTTCGAGGTCCTGTCGCTGCGGATCTCCCTTCGTTCGCGGTTTCAACAACACCGTGGGAGGCTCGGTCGGGTTGACTAGAGCGATGGTCGGCTGTTTCTGTTCTTGTTGCTGCCGCTGGCTCTGAGAGCGGTGAGGGGACTGAGGCTCAGGAGTGTCAAATCCAGCAAGTGGCTGCTCTGAAAAACGTCGCTCGAGATGGTACTCGTCGCTTTCGCTCTGATGCTGCTGCTGGTGGTGCTGGTAGTGGTGGTGAAGGCGTGAGTCTGGGCGGCTGTTATTGTTGTTGTTGCTGTCGTGGTGCGGGGGGAAGGCGGGGGGACGGCCCAACGAGTCGTGAGCAGCGTCGACGAGAATGGAGGCCTGCGAGGGGGATTTCTGTTTCCTGAAGAATGATGGCATGAGGGATACCGGCCAGCGACCGACCTGCGCCTCGCTCCAGGACAGAGATTCGCAGAGACAGGCGCCGGCGAAAGCGCAGATGGGGGGTTGGCGGGCGGGGCTTTGAGGGGGCGAGACACGCAGAGAGACAGACAGAGAGTGTTATAGAGAGCCGACCAGCAGCAGCCCGATGCTAATTATAGCGATAAGGAATCAATTCATGAGGCGAGGATGGACGCTGTCTTCAACGAGAATTGATGATGGTTGTCGGAGATCGACCTGTGTTCGAACAGCGATGCCTGCCTAGTTTTGGCCCTCCAAGGCTGAGCTGAGCGTCAGCACATCGTGGCTGTGTCGAGCGATAATAATATGAACCATGCTCTAGTGAAATACTACTATGGAGATTGATTGATTATTTTAAGCCTTGTCTCCACCTGATTTTCCAGGTTTCAGACTTAAAGGCCCCGTAGGGCGTATGGACTCTACGGAGTAACTATGGATCAGGGAGTTTATGCTGCCTGACTGCCTGACTTTCTGCCTGAGGCAACAATGATTATCAAAACAAACCAAAGAATCTCACCGCTCGGTAACTACCCATGGCTATCATCACCACGACTCGCTAATAAGAGCTCGGCTATTCATCTTTATGCTACAGGAAGAACCGCAGGTCCAGTCTATTTGAAACTATCTGCTCTGCGCCCCTGGACAGTAGTTCCTACTACACACCCACTAATTTGATATCACTATTGTGCATCCCTCAAGCTGAACTAACGAGAGGTCGAGTTGTTACAGGAATATAGCAGGATATGGTCTCTCATGGTTGATTCCTTCACTCTATTGCTTTCTTGTTGCTGGTGCCATTATTGTGCAGCAACTGATCCTCTGAATAGAAAATTAACCAGGTTTTCTCAATGATCTATTGCGTCAGACCTACGCATGACTACGCTGCAGACTCTATACACTACCTACCTAGGCAGCCACAGTGGACAGTCATATTTGGCGAATAAGCTGAGAAACTCACATTATGGTGGCATGCTGCTGTGTGAACTTAAAGCTGCCGATGGCATACAGAGCTGGCAGGCAGATACAGCTTCTACTCTCTCTCTCTCTTACTCTTAGAAACTCGTCTCATCTCTTATACAGCTTCTTCATACCACTCATCGCCTATACCCTTGGGATTTGATAGCAGGAACGAGGGAGACACCAGCTAACACATCACTGATTCCTGGGCTCTCTGTACAGAGTGATATCTACAATGCTCAATGTTCATACAGATTGAATAGTATCCAGGATAATCCCTGGTGTCCCTAACATATTATTCCCTGGCGGTGTGCCCGGCTACATACGACCCAAGCCCTCAGGTCAAAGATCTGCACCCTCCAGGTCAAGCCTTACATGCAACTCTCCGGGTTGCCTCTATGCGGTAATGAGTGACAGGTAGACCACTATGACTGATGCGCCGAGTTCCTGCAGAAGATCGACCAGACAGAATCCACATTAAGATCCCCCAATAACAACAAGCTAAATCGCAAACAACTACATATGCACTATGCAGTATGATTTGTTTAATAGAAGAAGGAAAAATATCATTGATTTCTACTCCATCTATTCCCATAAAGCCATGTCTTCTGTCTTCCCCTTTTTTCCTCTCTCAACAGCAGAGGAAAGCTTTCAGTCAAGATGAACGCTTCTGAGATACTCCCCTCCTGCACTCTGCGCCCGGCAGAGCCGCTCTTGCCCTTCGTCTCCGACCTGACTCTATCCTTCATCGTGCCCACGGTCGGCTACTGGCTCATCTCGGGCGTGTATCTGATGTTCGAGCTTTTCTACGGGGTGGAAGACTACTCGCCGCTCCACACCCCCGCCGAGAAGCTGACCCGGAACCGGGCGACGAAGAGTCATGTCTTCTACATTACCATGCGCAACCTGGTCATCCAGAACGCCCTGGGCTGGGTGCTTGCCCGTCGTGCAGGCCCGGACCTCTACGGCTGCGAGGACCGCGACGTTGCCGTGTGGGCGATGCGTCTCCGGTCTCTGCAGCAATGGATTCCGTCCCTGCTGGCGCTAGCAGGTATCGACGGTAAAAGTGCGGCGAGCAGAGTCTCGCACTCTATGCCTGCCCTCGCACAGGTGCTGGCAGGCGGCGGCCAGGCTGGAGAATTCTCGCCGTTTCTTGCACGCTGGGAGTTGTCGCTCGCTCATCTCTTGTACTACTACCTAGTGCCAACCATGCAGTTTGTCTCCGGCTACATGATTCTGGACACGTACCAGTACTTTGCGCACCGGATGTTACATCAGAACCGCTGGCTCTACCGTAAGACCCTAACCCCCAAAATACTCACTTCAAATATCACTTCAAATATCACTTTCTCACCGCGTTTACTGACTTAAAAGGCGTCGTCCACTCCGTCCACCACCACCTCGTCGTCCCGTACCCCTGGTCAGCGTTTTACGCACACATCATCGAGGCGCTAGCCGTGGGAGTCGGCTCGGCCACTCTGGCCTTCACCCTGACTGGAATGACCCTGCGGCAGGGAATGTGGTTTGGAATGGGCGCCATCTTCAACGAGATCAACTCGCACACCGGTTACGATTTTCCTTTGAGTCCCGGCCGGCTCCTGGGGACGTCGCCTATCTTTCACGATCTTCACCATCAAAGCTGGGGTGTGAAGGTATTTTTTATCTTTCTTTTTTTTGCCTTTTCTTTTTCTTTTTTCTAACGTCTTAGTACAATTTCGGCTTCTACACGCTCTTCTGGGACTGGCTGTGCGGGACACTATGGATGGAAGACGAACACTCGATGCGCAAGTATGCGGAGGGACGGGCGATGACGGAGAAGAAGATGGCAAACAAATAATTTTTTTTTTCTATTTCCATTGTTCATCTGGTATATGATCTGTCTCCTCCCGCCTCGTTCTTAAGGGTATTCCTCAACGCACAGATTTCCCTTTCCTGGATGGCGACCCTGCGTTGTAGAAACAGGATATGCTCGATGGCTCTGGCCAGGACTCGGTCTTTTGTACGACGTTGAACTCTGCTGCCGTATTCTTGTTGTAGTTGTTCTTCTTCTTCGTCTTTCTCTTTCTCTTTCTTCTCCCTGGGCAGAATCCCATCTAATAACCGGATCTGATCGTTCAACACCCGATACCGCCGTTCAAACCGGTACGCAGCCCTGCGTCTGACTGGTGCAACCTCTGGTCCCAGGGAGCGCGGCGACCGATCCGACCCGCTCCCTTTCCGGTCACCTTCCTGGCGAGGGACGAGGCAGCTGAGAGAAGGATCCACGACTTGTTCGGGCACCCCGGTGACGTCGAGCAGGGACCAGACGTCTGGGTCGTCGAGATCGCAGGAGAAGTCGGAGAGGGGTTCGGAGACGCCACGACGGAAGGGAGGGGGGTGGGATTCTTTCAGATAGAGGATTAATCATCAACTCGTAGTAGACGTTCTTCTGTCCTCTTTCTTTTCTGTTCTTTTTCTGTCAAGTAGTTGTGAAGTATTGTTGTCTACCTGAGAAGATATAACCTGTCGGCCAATCGACGCTCTCGGGGCCGACACCCTCATTTGTGCTCATGACGGAGGGACATAGACAAAAGGACAATCGAATAGAAATGAATATATTACTTGTTCAACATTTATTCCAGAAAAAAAGGTCCTATTGTTCTATATATACTGAATATCAACAGAATAAAAAATGATTAGTCATACCGAGGCCGAGTGACCTGTGCATGAGTCAGCAAGGCTAACCCATAATAGGACTAGGCCTGTTAGGATAGTTAATCTCACCTCGCGAAGAATTTCCTCTTTGTCGTTGACAGCGTCGTTGGATGGAATCAGATTACTGGGAATATAAAGTAGAAAGCTGGGGGGTGCGGGTCAGCACTAATGATAATGGGCAGATAGCTAGGTAGAGGTGGTTGTTGAGGATGACGGAGGATTATTGGGCTCTGTATAGTCATGGCTAGTCGTTCTGTACGGTAAGCACCGATGGAATTGTTTATTGCCTGAGCCTCGCCGGAGCAGAGTGAGCCTGACTCCTTAACTCCTTCACACCTTCATCACCTAGCATTGCACCCCCCTTCTCTATTCTCGACAATGATTCTTAATTCTCCCAATTTCGATATCAAGGATTCATTGTTTTTCAGCCGGTGCAGCCAGTCGCCTACACCGAAGGAAGTGCGAGCACGAGCCGAGTCTCAATAGCTTGCGGGCATCTATCCAGACCGCAGAAGAACCCCAATCGCGCCTTATATAAAACCACCGCCTGTTGTATTTGAGGACCTAGGCCTATTTGTTAAATAGGGGAATACTGTGGAGATAGCTGAGGCCCAAATACAGCATACAGTCCGGTAGCTGCTTGGGGATGAATTCCCTATTCCTGAGGTCTATGGGTGGCGCACAGATGGAAAGAAGAGATATATCTTTATGGAATATGGAAAGGGACAGACTCTGGAGCAAGCATGGGATACCTTAGAACACCATGACCAGACTGTCCTCTGCCATGAGCTTCAAAGAGCGTGCGATCGTCTGCGCCGTCTTGAGCAAGAGCCGGAGAAATTCATAGGTAAGCTTACATCTCATTCTATCCTTAATCTAATCTCTCTTTCTAGGGAAACTACGCAGGCCCCTCTATATGATAGATTATCGCATATAAACTACATGTCTGAAGTAGGGCCATTCAAAACTGTCAAGGATTTCTATGACTGGTTGACATTCCTCCCCCGAAGACGAATGTCAGATCCTCACTCGGTTCCTATTGAGCCTTATCGCTATAAATTGCTGGACGACTGCGCCATCAAGTTTACTTATGGCGACCTTCACCACAGTAATATTATTATTACTTCCTCTTAACTATACTATGTTCTGGCTATTGTCGACTGGGAACAGTCAGGCTGGCTCCCTGAGTATTGGGAAGCCCGTAAAGCGTAGGTCACTGCCGATTGGCGCGAGCCATGGTCCACGGAGTATCTGCCAATGGTTTTGGATCAGTACCCGGATACTTTGAAAGCATGGAACTATTATACGATCTCCATGGGGTGTTGATAGTATGATACTACTATACTCTAGGCAGGCAGCTGAGGCGCAGCCACGTAGTGGAAACACAGCCACAGATAAAGCGCGTATTATCAAATCAACTAGGTATTAATTAACACTATTCTATCTAGGAATTATATATCTTGAAGCCTGTAGCAAACTCCTTCGCCTTTGTTTAATTATTGTAGCTGGGCTTCTACGACTCGATTCTCCCTATTGGGTATAGCGCTACGATATCGTGAGATAACTTCAAGTTCCTACTTACAACTCATCAGAGCAATACCATGGCTCCTCCTCCTCCCACCGCCGCAGAGCAGTATCTCGCCCAAGACCGCTTCAACCGCCGGTTCATCTTCTCGACGACCTCCCACGGCGACCTCCCAGTCACCTACGCCGACGTGGGCGTCTCCGCCCGCGATGCACCCGTCGTCCTCTTCATCCCGGGCATGGTTGGCTCGCGGTACTTTGCTGTCGACAAGCATGCCATAGCGGAGAAGATGGGGGTTCGCATGCTCCTAGTTGACAAGTAAGCACCGTGGCCTTATGAATCTTTGAAGAAATCCTCTACTATTTGTATGCCAATGCTAATGCTCTGATTTGAATGCAGGTTTGGAATGGGAGGCACCCCCCTCGTACCCCTCGACCAACGTCTCAGCCTCTGGTGCGAGCTGGTCCCCCAGCTGCTCGCCCATCTATCTATCCAGCACGTCACCCTGATCGCCCACAGCGCAGGAACCATCTACCTACTCAACACGCTGGCCCGGTGCCCGCAGATCCTCTACCCGAGCAAACCCTCGGTCGTCTTGCTCGCGCCCTGGGTTGACCCCGTTCATTCGGGAGTCACCCTTATGCAGTGCGCGCAGTACCTCCCCACCCCGACTTTCCGAGTGTGGAACAACGTGATGCGTTTCTTCGCACTGAATGTGTCTCCTATGCTTAGCTCCAGCGGTGACATACTCAAGAGTTCAAACACTACTACTTCCACTAGTACTAGTACTAATGAGAATACTCGGGAAGAGCGTGCCCGTCATCATATTCAAGAAGAGTACGGTCTTTCAATCAAGTTCCAGCACGAATTGGAGAAAACGGCAATCAGCGCCGTCTTCAACGGATCGACCGCGGGCGCCAACGCCGATGCACTCCTCTGTCTGCGCAAAGGGCCCGGCACCTCCTGGGCCGCATGTGACGATTACGCTGCTTTCGTGACGGAACTGGTCGACACCCTCGCCCTGGCGCAACGGAGTGGTGGTGAAAGTGGACCCGCTTCGCCGCTCCTTGTGCGCGCTTACTTTGCTGAATCGGACCGGATGATCGGTCGGAAGGGCCAGGCTTATTTCGAGGACTGCTGGCAGAAAGGCGATGGGGAGTTCTTGCGCTTCGAGTCCAGAACCATCCCGGAGACGGACCATGAGACTCTCCTCACCTGTTCGGTTATTGAAGAGATATTTGAACTGGCAAGGAGTGATTGAAGTTACATAGCGCAACTCTCGTCATATTATAAGTACTAGTACTCCATGGATACTACAACTACATACTATACTACATAGTTCCAGTATAGAGTTATGCTATGCAATCTTAAAATAGAAGCCCCCCCACGCCTCAGGCAGCAAATTACCTATTACAGATAGCTGTCTATCATCTCGACAACACCTGCCAAGATGTCCTCCTGCAACCCCCCATGCCACGCTCCTGCGAACAGGCACAGGGAAAACGCATGACTCGAGCCAACGCATCTCCGGAACGACGCCTTCTTTTTTTCAACAAGGTGGGGGTTGAAGGGGGAAAAAAAAAAAAAGAGGAGATGTCGTGTGTGATACCAGCTGCAGACCTGCCTATAAAGATGCCCGAGATTGACCGGGGGGGGGAGAGGTTCGGAGTACCTGAGTCAATTAACTATTGGGACAAATCCACGAACTCCCATCACCATCAATCAGCATAATCCAACTAATTAATTAATTCTTTTACACATCCCTCACCCCCATCCCCTTACCACCACTCCCCCCCACTCTGCCTCTTTTTTACCACTGATGAAGAAGAGAGAACGGGTAAATTAGAGCAAGAAAGAAAAGGAATGAACAAGCCAAAATTGACGCCGGGCCCAGGCCGGAGGTCCAACACCAGAGCGCCCCCTCCTCACCTTCCCTCCTGCACCGAGTCTCCGCTTCCTCCACGGCCGACCAACGCACAACACACGGCAGTTCCGTCGCCGGAGGATCTTTTGCCGTTCGCCGACCAGGAGGGAGCGCTCGTACCCGTATATGAAGATCAGCCAGTGACGCAGTCCTCTGCCCTAGCCACGTACCGCACGTTGGCAGGGATGAACGCCTTTGCGGCGGAGCATGAGTATGCCTCGAAGCAGGCAGGGTTTTCAGGTCAGTTTGATAGGGGGGAAATTTTAAAGAAAAAGAGAAAAAAAAAAAAAAGGAGGCAAAGAAGAAAATAAGTCAAAAAAGAAAAAAAATTAGAAAAAATTTCTAAAAGTCGGTAGGATCCGAGATACCTATGATGCAGGCCAAGAAAGATTACAGTCTGCAGGAGAAGCAGAATCATCATAAGAGTTGGAACTTTGGATCCTGTGTCGTTTCCGAATCGAAACTCGTCAATGGCCTGGTCATGATCGAAAATAATCAAGCGCAGACTCTCCGCCAGGAGTATGCCTTCGATACCGCCGAGTTCGTCAAGAAGAGCGATGTCGTCAACGGCGATATGGACGGTGACATATACCACAAGACTCGGCCTCCTACGCCTAAGCGATAGATCCTTTGAGCTTCTTGTGATCATCTCTTGTTTTCCTGGCTTTTGTTTTTTTTCCCCTCTTTTTTTCGACTCTCAACTCTCCTGTTAGTTAAATGCGGGCATTTTACTCAGCATGCCGAGACTCAAGTCATTCGTAGTTCTCAGTACTCTTTCTCCCTCTCTCCCTCTCTCCCTCTCTCCCTCTCCTCCCTAGCCTCTCAAGGCCCCTAGTGGCACTGGTCTCTCTGGTCCCTTGTCTGGCCCACTGTTTTTGATCGTATGCAGGAACATGGAAGGAAAACATGGTCGGCCATAGACACTCTCGAACTGGGAAATCAGTAAAAAGAAGAAAGAAAGAAAGAAAGAAAGAAATACCTCCTTTCCTCCTCTTCCGTCATCTGTGCGATATCCCATCCACCACCGAAACAGATCTTCGGCCGTATATGTCGTAAACATATACGTCAGCCGGTAGATGATGTGATCCCATCGATGGTTCCAGTTCCACACACTATCCGGGCCCCCGTTGATCTTCTCCGGTGGGCCGGTATTGAAAATCCGCCCCAGTTCCTCTCCACTCCAGATCCCGTCCGCATAGATTGGGTGCGGCACATACACGGCCTTGAGGCCGTGGTGCAGCGCGGCCGTTGGTCCCGTCATCTCAGATACCACGCCTAGCCCTTTTGCGGCCTGCGCGCGGTGGATCACAGTGAGCAGCCGGTTGGAGAAGCGGCCCATGGTGATGACGCCCGCGCGGCGTGGGGTCCGGGTCCCCTGGGGGAAATTCCAGATCACGTTGGGAAACGTCCATGTTGTGTCCTGCGGGTTGAAGATCGGGAGGAAGGTGATGAGGTCTGCTTCCTCGTCAACCCCCCAGGTATATGCATCATCGTTGGGGGAGGGGACAGGGGGCGCGGGGCCAACAGGTTGGATGCCCGTGTCTGCGGCGGGCACGGGCCCCCAGACGGACGGCCGGCCCTGCATGGATTCCTCGACGAGACCCGCAAAGGAGGCCCAGGTGCCGTGAATGGAGGGCGTGTAAAAGTACGAATTACGCTCCCAGAGGTATTTGCGCGGCTGGTGTCGGGCAAAGGAGACGGCTGATTCGAGGAAATGATAGACGTGTCCGGTGAAGCGGGCGTCCATTTCGAGTTGCCAATAGTAGTCAAACTCAGGATGAGATTGGGCGAAGATCTGGAGCGGCTGGAGATGCTGATACATAGGACTGCAGATTTGTTAGTATCTCTATATACCTAGGTAGTGGACTACCTTTAGCGGTGTGTGCCTGGTATACCCGTACCGATGTTCACTGATTCGCGGATACCACGCTTCTAGAAGCTTGTCGTTAAACAAGACGGTGATGTTCCAAAATTCCGGCGGAATGAACATCCGCTTCATCATATGGATGCTCTCCACGTCGGAGAAGATGGGAAGGAGGTTGTCCTTGACATGAACCATGAGGAAAACTTCATACTCGGCACCAGAGTGCAGAGATAGCTCCATGATGAGGGAGCGCAGATATTCACGGTGGTTCTCCGTCCAGGGCATGGTGTGCCAGGTGCGGACCAGCACCGCCGAACGAGAATGGTATTTGCGGGCTGATTGCTGTGGCTGTGGGGGCGACTCTGACTGTTTAGGCTCTGCAGTGTCCGGCTCCAGGACTGAGAAGGGATGTTGAGTATATGAAGCTTTCTCTGCTTTTTTGCTTGGCCTATATCGGATGGAATTCCTCTGGTAACAGCTCGCCTGCAGCGTGCCCCAGTCTACTCGATCCCATGGGAGCGTGGGTGGCCGTTTGAATCCATCCACAGGCTTTATACTCCCTGCGTCATGCCCATAGATACCAAAGCGCGAGTACCGATCCGTACACACGGCACCATCCAGGTGCATGGTTTCATACGACCCGAATGCCGGGCTGGGAAAGTTCTGCTGCTTCCCTCGGTACACGTGTACCATATCCTCCGCATTCGTCCTATCGAGATCTCGACCTCGAGGACCTTGACAAGGGCGAAACTGCCCTTTCCACGTGCGGCTCCAATGCCAGCTGTTATAGGCAGGATAAGGGTCATAAATCGAGGGGAGAGGATGATGAGCACTCTCATAGCTAGTCAGTGTCAAGGTGCCCCCATAGTAGAATCTCTCGTCTCTGATTTCTCAATTAGGAATCATAGGAGAGCACTTGAGTGAGACAGTTATCACACCTAATGTCATGGATATGGCCCATATCGTCTTGATCGGGTAGTTCGGGCGTACTGGCGATCTGCACACGGGCGTCCGGATCATGAGCAACCGCATCGTGATACTGGCCCGGTCGAAGGACATCCGGTTCGAGCCACGAACGGCAGTCAATATGGAATGTGATTCCATAGGAGTAGATGAGGCAGGAGATGCATTTGACCAACAAGGCTAGAACAAAGAAAATGATGAGCCCATACGGCCATGAAAACCGGCGCATGCAGAGTCTCTGCTGTCGAGCAATCATTGGGTACTTCACATACATCCTGCCTCGGAAAAATTGCATTGTGTGTCTCGGGAGGATGGCCCTCATGGTGGATAGATAGACGTTGTTAAGACAATGATGATTGTCTGAGGTCACCGGCTGTCCGTGGTCCAGGATATACTCAACAGTCTCTTCGCCCATGGTTCATAAATTAGAAAACAGCAATAGATAGAGAATATTAGATTAATTCTGACTTACTTCTGACCTACTTCTATCCGGGGGAAGCCCGCAAGAAGTAAATCGGCGTCATCCAGTCCATTGATATCGGCAAGAATTTCATTCCTTCCATGAGAGATACGAGACTGCAATATAGCATGACATCCATCATTTCCTTTATGGGTAAAAAAGTCTGTGGAGAGAAGGGAAGTCTGAGGAGAGAAGAGCAGAGGAAAAAAGAGAGGAGGAGGAGGAGGAGGAAGGGGTGAGCAGCCAAGCCCTAGTTCCTCTGCCCTAATTTCCCTTTTAGGAAACACCATCTTTAAGTCCTCTTAGTGATGGGACTGATAATTGGCATAGATATTTTCACTATTTATTATATGTTATTTACTTTGACTGGAGTGATGATAATTTTATATTTATTAGTAGATAGATACCTAACATGTCTCAGGTCTGACTGCATCTTGAGTGAAACTATATCAAATTGACAGACCAGCCTTTATCTCACACTAATTAAGTATAACCTACACTTCACAGTACCTCCAATTAATGTCTAGATCCATTGGAGGCATCAAAAAAGCCGAGCGACTACGGCATTACCCAAACTCCGTTCTATTCTCCGTCGACGTCATATCTCCGAAGCAGCCCAACTTTAAAACATGACAGTTTCTCCAAGCTGATATTATCCTTTCTAAACAAAGACCAACATGGAGGCTCTTCGGACAGAACACGCTTTCCAAACCCTCGCCGACAAGGTAGCCATCGTGACGGGCGGGTCTCGCGGGATCGGAGCAGCGATTGCCCTCGAGCTGGCCCGACGAGGAGCCAAGGTTGGTAGAAGCAAAACAAAAACGGGGACTTGCATTATCACTAATGAAAAGGTCGCCATCACATATACATCATCGAGCAGCACGAAACTGGTCGAGTCCCTGATCGAGCAGATCCATGAGTTCCATCCCTCCTCGGCTATCGGCGTGCAGGCGGACCTGCGCGAGGTCTCGTCGCCGCAAAGGATCGTCCAGAAAGTCCTGCAAGACTTGCACACGGCCCATATCGATATACTTGTCAACAATGCCGGGGTAGAAATGGTCAAGCCCTTCCACGAGGTGACATCCGATGACTTTGCGTTGGTATTCGAGACCAACGTGCGAGCGCCGCTGTTGATGATGCAGGCGGTGCATCCGTACCTGCGGGCTCCCGGGCGGGTCATCAACATTGGCTCTGTCGGGAGCCGGCATGGGTTCCGGGATCTGTCGGCTTATTGTGCGTCCAAGTCGGCGCTGGAGGGGATGACACGGTGCTGGGCGACGGAGCTGGGCGGGGCCGGCCACACGGTCAACACGGTCAACCCGGGCCCCGTGGAGACGGAGATGATCTGGAAGATCCCGAAGGAGATTGTGAAGATGCAAATGGACCAGACGCCCGTCGAGAACCGGATGGCCAAGGTGGGCGATGTGACGCAGATTGTTGCCTGGCTGGCGGGGGGGGAAAGTGGATGGGTGACGGGACAGGCGATCTGCGCCAGTGGGGGGTGGGCGATGTATTAAGGAAAGATATTGCTAAGAAATCACTGTAAGAAATCACGAAACGCAAATAAATCTAAGACTATCTGGATCTTGTCTGTCGCTCTTCAGGATAGGAACGGGAGTGTCGGCGACGGTGGTGATGGCCTGTCTGGTCCTGGCGTTGTGTCGAGGGACGATCACGGTCCCTGCGTCTTGTCCACGAGCGAGGAGGGAATCGAAAGAGACAAAAGTAGGTTCTCATGTTGCTTTATGGAGGATGAAGGGGGAGAGAGAGGCAGAAGAGGGAGAAGAAGAAGAGGGGGAAGAGGGAGAGAGATAAGAGGAAGAAGAAGAGAGGAAATAGGGTCATGTGTTGTGCACATGACTTGGTCTGCCTGACAGCCTTATATTGAATGTTTTGAAACTTGCCTTGTGAATGATTCACTATCAAATCAACCCATTTCCGATGTCTTCCACAGAACGTCAGGATCATCTCTCATCTCTGTGATTAATACTCTATACTATCTTAATAGCATACCCATGGAAACCGCCCCGAGTTCTCGTTCTCCTCCGAACACGCACTAGAGACAGGCATGGTCTAAAGCACGACTGTGAGAAGCGCCCTTATTCCTTGGTTACAGTCTAATTTATGATAGATAATTGGTAACCCTATTCCTCGAGATATACTATATTAGTACTATGTACTAACGTTGAATCGATAAACCCCCCCCCTCTCCAAACAAACGAGCTCAAATCCCCCCCCCCGACTCTGGACCTCTCTCCGAAACTCATCCAAAGACCCCCTGAATAAATCACTCCCGTCATAATGAATCGGAATAGTCACCCCCGGGCCAATCTTGCGAATGAGCTCCACCCCCTGCTTCCCATCCATGGACATCCTCATCGACAAGGCCCCCATCCGCGGCGAGGGTACACTCACCGACCCGAGATGCACGAGCATGAGGTCCACATGTTTGTACCGTGTTTTGATCTCCTCGTGCAGCTTGTTGTCGAATAATGTGTCGCCCGTGATGTACATGGTATACCCTATTTGCAGGTCGTTGCTCGTCTGTCCTGCTGGTCCGTACCCTAGTTCAACCATGAAGCCGTGGGTTTCCTATCGATCAGTGTCTTGAAAAAAGCATAATCAAGTGTAGGTGAATGTATAGGGTAGATGTACTGTAGGACCATGTTTCCCCGGGACAGCCGTAACCCTCCATCTAGGCTGGAGACGAGCCCCCCCCTTCTTGACATTAACCAAAACACCCTCGTAAGCGTCTAGTCCGTACACGGTCGTAAAGGGGTCGCAGAGAGCCGAACGGGCGGATTTGGTGGTTATAATGGGGATGTCTCGCCGGATGGACGATTCGATCAGTCGGTCAAAGTGTTCTCTACATACATACATAAGTACATACATAATAGATGATAGATAATAGATGATGATGACTTGCCTATGGTAGTGGGAAAGGAGAATGGCGTCAATCCGAGGCATTTCCTCTAGGAATATCGCTGGGTCGATTCGTCGCGTGGAAAGTGTGTGAGTTCTTGTTCCGGCACGGATGAAGGTGGGCTATCCTTTATTAACATATCATATAACTAGATGGGTATGAGGTGGGTGTTTACATCAGTCATTAGACGGATCCCTTCCCATTCTCTATCACTTTTTAGTAGTGCATCTCGCATACTACATATATACTAACATGATAACTGTGGCTGCCCCCACGTAGAATAAAGAGGCGTTTTCATCTCCGGAAGACGAGGAATGGACTTTGGTTTCCTTTGGGCCAGGGAGGGATGGCGATGTCGGGCCGTTTTGGAGAGACGGTTTGGTCGAGGTAGGGTCTATCACAAAGTGTTGCATCGTTATAGTAAATACAGTAAAATATAGTAAAGTAAGAAGTAATACAGTAATGTATAGTTATGATATTGACACTTCGTTAAAAAAAAATGTGGCATGACGTTTCATTGCGTATGTAGTATGTAGGATGTGGTATGTCTACGAACCATGTCACTAACAAATTCCATGGGTCTTGCCCGTCTTGCCCTGCAGAGAGTGCTTCTCGCCCTTGTAGTGCGGGTGGTTGTGGCGGGCCTTGTGCGAGTTGATGCCGTGGGCTTGGACGTGCCTGGAATGATTAGTTTAAGCGGTACTTCATTTCCACTTCATACCAGAGACAATTAACTTACGAAGTGTACTTCTCCACCATGTCCTTGTCCATGGCATCCAGGGTCTTGAGAGCAAGGCGGATGTCCTGCAGCAGGAGGTTGCAGCGGCTCAGGGAAAAGTCCTCACGGACAACCACACGCATCATCTTGAGGCTGCCGCTGTGAGGCGCCATGGTGTACGCGGGGACCACCCAGCCGCGCTCGCGCAGCGAGTGGGCGAGAGCGAACTCGTCGTATTGTGTATCGCGCTCGGCGGGCAGCCGGAAGGCAACAAGGGGTAGCCCTTTGCCACCACCCTGGCTCATGATGATGAAGCCCAGCTCCGTCAGCTGGGCAGACAGGTAGTCTGCCACACGGGTCAGGTTGGTCATGATGGAGCGGTAGCCGTGCTTGCCCAGGCGGATCATCTGGTAGTACTGGCCGATCACCTGCGAGGCACCCTTGGAGAAGTTAAGGGTGAAACTCGCCTGCTCTGCACCCAGGTAGTTGATGTTGAACACCAGCTCCTGCGGCAGGTACTCGGGCGACCGCCACACCACCCAGCCCACGCCCGGGTACACCAGGCCATATTTGTGGCCGGAGACGTTGATCGAGACCACCTTCTCCAGACGGAAGTCCCACTCGAGGTTGGGGGCGACGAAGGGGGCGACGAAGCCACCGCTAGCGGCATCGATATGAATAGGGCAGTCTAGATTAGAGCATATTAATATCGAGGCAGTCGGGGAAAGTGGAGTATGTAGAGCTCACCTAATCCGCGCTCGATCAAAAGATCGTTGATGGCCTTGGCATCTTCATACTCGCCCGTATAGGTGGTGCCAAGGATGACACAGATACCGATGGTGTTCTCATCGACGAGATCAACGGCCTCCTTGGGATCAATGACATAGCGATCCTCGGTACAATAGACATACTTCTCCTCGACATCGAAGTAGCGGGCGGCCTTCTCCCAGCAGACCTGGACGGCACTGTTCATGATGATGTTGGGACGGGAGTAGTCCTTCCCCTCGGCCTTGCGCTTGTTCTGCCAGCGCTTCTTCATGGCGAGCGTGCCCAGCATGATGGCCTCGGAGGAGCCGATGGTGGAGGTGCCCATGGCGTGGTCCGAGTCGCTGTCCGTGGGGGCGTTGAACAGACGGGCAATCATGTTGACGCATCGGTTCTGAATCTCCGCCGACTGCGGGTACTCTTCGTAGTCGATGAAGTTCTTACTGAACGACTCGGTCATGAGCTTCTCGGCCTCATCTTCCATATACGTGGTGACGAAACTCGCAAGACTAGACAAGAGTTGTTAGATAGCACTCAACGAAACAAAACAAAACAAAACACCAAAGTAGACCTACTTGAGCATCGGGTTCCCGTCCAGACTGAGTTCATCCTTGATCATCCGATAGGCAACCTCACGGGGCATCTCCCGCTCGGGCATCTCGTTCTGCGGCAGCTCCGTGGCCGCAAAGCGAGTGCCGTACACGCTCGTCAGGAATTCGTCGTTCTCCAGCTGGACGCCCGCCACGCCGTCGGTGACGGCAGCGACGTCGTCGTCTTTGCGGACGGTGGCGAGGTGGACCATGATGAAAACGATAAAGACGATAAAGACGATGAAATAAGATGAAATAAGATGGAATAAATTCAGATGAGACTCTTGGTAAGACGGCTTGGCCAGGAATAAATAAGAAGAAACAATGCCAGGGGAGCTTTTGAGGACTGCGTAGGACTAGGGGGTCCTTCCTCCCTCCACCTCCCTCAGTGCTAAGCACTCCACTAACGTGCCCAGTCGATGTCATCGTGGCCTGGTCCTGTCTTGCCCCCAGTACGCATGGGTTGACGATTCGCTGGTGTCTCTCTTGCCCCGCGGCTAGAGCGATTCAGCTGTGGTAGTCGGTGGAGATGCAGATCAAGTCTTGTCTTGATACTAATAGTACTACCTACTCCGTACACAGTACTACTACTGCTGCTGCTGCTACACAGTGCTGCTACATACGGAGCATACAGATACTCCGTATCTGGTAGGTTACTGAATACTTTCATCACTCTATACCTACTCAATCACATTCTATTCTATCCTAGTATCTATCCTCGGTTTGCTGACAACGTCACAGTGGACCAGATACTAAATGCCCCTCTTCTTCCCCTCTGTGGCGTTGGCGCGATATCGTGGACGAAACAACGCGGCCGATTCTGGGCTATTCTGGTCCTATTGAATCCCTGGGCCTCTAGACTATTGATTAATTACTCAATCACTACATGATAGTCTGTAACTATGTAGTAGGTAGTATTGCCGTACTATTATTGTTATGTTATTACTCCGTACTCCGTCCTGTGTAGACATGAAACATGTTGATACATAACTATTAACTAACTACTACATGGCCCAAGGGTAAAATCGTCATCACACCTGTTTATCTTCTTTTCTTCCTTTCTTTATTTTTTCTCCCCCTTGACCTTGCGTTTCAGCCAGCCCAGGAAGCCGCCACTCTTCTTGCGCTCGGTTTTATCCGACTCGATCTTCTTGGCCGGAGCTGACGTCGACTCCGTCGCAACGGCGGCAGATGGAGCAAGCTCAGGTCCAGTGGTTACAGCAGGGGCTGGAGGAGAGACTTGGGCGGCCCCAGTGGCGGCAGCGCCTGCCCCCGCCGCAGAGGCTACACCGACTGTCTCGGGAGCTGTCTTGGGCACGTCCGCCTCCGCAGCGACCGCGGGGGCAGCTTCCGCCTGCTCGCCGGTCGTGATCTGCTTGATCGCTTCTTCGTGCGTCTTGATCTTGTCTTCGGCGCGCTGCAGCTGCTCCTTTTGTTCAGAGGTGGCTGCTGCTGGCGCGGTTGCAGTAGCGGCTGCTGCAGAAGAATCCTCCGCGGGGGCCTCCACAGATGCAACTTCAGGAGCTGCTGCTGTGACAGGCTCTGGAACACCCGCCGATAGTGCAGTCGGCGCCACGGTCGCCTGCGTGGTCGACTCCTCCGACTGGATCGCACCCACGCCCGCGGCCGCTCCCACGCCCGCCAGCGCACCACCCGCGACCAGGGCCTCGGGCACCTGAGAGGTCGAGGTTGTCTTCTCAGAGCTGACGGGCGGCACCGCAGCCTCAGCGGGACCAGACTGCTGGTCGAGCGCGCTGGCCGTCACGTCCTGGTCGGCGGAGGCAGCCGCCACGACGGCGGGCGACGCGGCTCCCGAGACTGGGAACTCGCCGGGCAGCTTGCTGGTCGACTTGGGTGCGACGAGAGCTTCGGTTGTGGCAGCAGTCGCAGCCTCGGGCTGAGCATCCAGCACCGGCTCGTCCACCTTGGGCATCTTGTGTGGCTTGGTCTCCTCCTTGGCGAACAACGGGGTCTCGTACGGCCGCTTCGAGTGACTGGCCAGTCCGCTGGCATCCAGACTCTCGGAGGGAATGGCCGCAGCCTCGGTGTCGGTAGTCGACGCTGTCGTGGCAGGCATCTCCTTGGGGCGCTCGGGGATCGAAGAAACGGCGGCCACGGGTGCGACCGTCTCGGGGATCAAGTTGGACTCTTTCACGGCGGCGTCGGTGGAAATGGTCCCTAAGTCCCGTCAGTGATTTTGAACCATCGAATTTGCTATTGTCCTCTTCTTTAATGACGCACCTGTTTCCTCGGGCGCCGCAGCGTCGAGGGAAGTTAACTGGCCTGCTTTGGAAGCCTGAACCTTGTCGACAGCGTCTTGGATGGACTGCGGCTTGGTCTCCAGCGCATCATCAACAGGAGCTGCTACAGGAGCTGCTACAGGAGCTGCCTCCGTGATGTTTTCCTTGGGCGCTGCCTCCGCAGGCGCCTCTGTCAACGCAGGCGCAGCAGCAGATGGGGTTTTCGTGGTCGCGTCAGGGGCAATGGTGGGAGCAGCAGCAGTGGCGGCCTGGGGGGCATCGGTCGACTCGGCGCCGCTGTTGCCTTCTTCGCCGTACATCTGGCGATCCTCGACTTCATGGCCTGGGGAGCTTCTCTCCGATTAGTGATGTCCATTGCACAGATGGATCGATCGACGGCAAAATGGAAAGAGAGCGTTACACAATGTTCTTGACATCAGAGGCAACCTTCTTAACGGCTCCGGCGCCACCCTTCTTGCCCTTGGCCTTCTTTCCTCCTTTCTTAGCCATTGTGATGAGAGATGTGAGAGTGGGTGTGGTTCTGTTTTGGGGGGATGCGATCGCGTTTTTGGTAAGGGGAGAAAAAAGAAGGCGACCGTTGAGAACACGTCGAAGGGTCAACCGGTCGCGTGTCTGGTTCGGAGATGAGGTCAAGTAAGGGATGCGGGCTACGACAATCACGTAAGAACCACGGAGGAGGCAAACTCGATCGAGAGATGGAGCAGGCGAAGCCTCAGGACTCAGTTCTACCAGTTAACTAGCAATCAATTACTCTGCAGTCTCGAATCTGTAGCTGATGCTCCACTGTTTCGCAAATTTCCCACCGACTTTAGCTCGTCGTGGTGGGACGTTCGCAGCCTCCCCCACTCCATCCCTCCTTCACCTCTCAGTGAGTACGAAGTCCCCTATTCTTGTGAAGAACGACGGATCCGGACAGTCTGGATGGTGGAGGTGAGACGGATGCATACAGGGGAATTGAAAATAACTCCTCTGGGGGAGATCATACAGAGTGCACTAGAAGATCTTCGATTCTTCAGGTGCCTGACACTATTAATGCTTGCGGATCTTGGCTACAGCAGCTAATGTGCGTCAGACGCAGGGCATTTTAGTGAGGACAGAGTATTAGTAGGTAGTATACAACGGAATACTCCAGAGTATACAGAGTAGATAATATGAGTGATGTTTATTTTTAATTATTGGTGTTAATAGGATACTCAGCCTATTCCTACTGGCCTATAACTACCTATACTACCTATACTACCTATACTACCTATATATACATTTAGTACTCCTGCCATAGATCAATCGAATATAATAATTAAACTGATAGCCAATTCTTCTTTTCTCCTCCTATCCACTGAAAATAAATATCTCGCACATCAACAGCCGATAATCTATACTTCATAGTATGGATACTTAGATATAGTCAAGTACTACATATATAAAATCCAAGCTTCAACAGATCCTAGTATTACTACATCGAAGCATACTAAATTCTATTTAAAACCCAGTACATACACTTACTATTTACATAGTAACTACCCACAGAGTAACTAATGACTACCGACTACCTCTACGAGTCCACTGCATGACTAGATCCATCAATAGCCGATCCAAACAACCCCTGTTGATGTACCTACCATGTACTCTACCTACCCAAGTAATAAACCGCGCAACGGGCGCTTACGACAAAGCCAGTCGGGACAGAGGAGCGTTATGTACGGAGTAGAGGAACAGATCTCCAATTTCTACCCGATCAAATCGTGTCTGCCAGTGTTAGGCCACCAAAGGGAATCACTACTATTGCCACGTACTACATATGCGCCAGGCAAGGCAATCGACGGGGGATCGCAATTCGATTGGTAGCTCCCTCTCGTAAGAACATGCCTCAAGAGGCCTGTAAGCTCTCGGTCTGTCAGGTCACAGAGTACAGGTCTACTGGTACATTTGCTTGGCTCATAATTATGTAAGAGAGTCGACTCATAGTTAACTAGGTATGTAGTACTAGTTACTACAGAGTACTACCAGTACTACCTCGATAGTCAATGCTACCCTATTATATGTAATAGTGGGTACATTAGTTACATCAACACTTCTAGTAATAGCAAGATAGATATATAATCAGGTAACTACATAGTAGTTAACTAGTACGAATACTCCGTACTTCTCTCTACCTGTAATTAAGATCATCCACAAAGCTTAACCGTGCAGGGCCGAGCAAAATCTGCAAGGAGACACATGATGCCTTGACTGGCTTGCGTGCCAATCGTAGCTGTAAATCCCCCGTATTTCTCCAGGCTCGAGTCTCCGGATCTGCAGGAAGGCTGCATAGTCGTATCCTGGGCCATGCGTGGCAAGCTGACCGCCAAGTACGGAGTAGCATATAGCATACTGTAGTCAAAAATTGATGAGGTAGGTGTACAGTACAGAGAGAGTAAGTAGGTACTCTCTCTACTTTCTCTGTATCTACTCTACTACCTCTCTGTATAGAAAAAAAAATATGACCTACGCAGGATTCGAACCTGCAATCTCTTGATCCGTAGTCAAGCGCCTTACCATTGGGCCAGCAGGCCTTGTTGAAAGCAGTCGCCAAAGATAGCCTCATATTCTAACCATAAGATAGAAGCCGACCGAAACGCTCACCGGAACGAACGTGCCGGGTGGGGGCACCCGATGACATCGTTGGTTTCTTCCTCGCTTGAGAATCCACGGATTCGCCTGCACAATGCACATAATGTTCATTATTATCGCCGCCCCGTTTGCCCATGACAAGATTCCACTAGTCATATCAATTATGGATGACGCCGTTGCCTTCTGGAAAAAGAATCGGATATCCGGCTTGCTCCGTCCGTGTTCACCGTGGCGCCTTTACGGAGTACAGTCCGCAGCCATAGTTAGAGCAAATCTATACAACTTCATACTAGGTACACTTGTCTTGCCTAGTCACCGAGTACGGAGTCCCGATGGAGTAGAAGTTCACGATCAGGAACAGAGTCTATTCTACTGTTCAGATATTTGGCTGACAGGATCTGCGCTTAATTCGCGCACAGCCTGCCTTGCCCTGACTCTCCGTGGAGTCTCCAGAGACGATCCAAGTGCACTGGCTCCATACGTCGGAACACGGGCGTGGGTACCATCCAACGATGACAACGAGTTGGCAATTTGCCCACAATAATAATCAAATTGCCATTGCCTCTCGGTGAATCCGTCCTCGCGATAACCCGGGTTCAATTGCTCGTTCGCTCACTCGTCCCCCTGCCGGATTGGGTCCCGGCCAATTCACTTGCTCCGGTTCTTCTCGTCAGACAGACTTCCCTTCCATTCCTTCTCCCCCCCCCCCCCCCCCCCCCTCCCCCCCCCCCCCCCCCCCCCCAAGAGTCTCCGTCCCTCCCTTCTTATCTACCTATCTTTACCCACCCTCGATTCGTGTCCCTCGTTTCCTATATTACTATTGACTTCCTCCTCCTTTTCTCTTCCCCCCCCCCCCCCCTCTCCTTCCTCCTTCCCCCCCCTCTCTCCTCCCCTCTCTCTCTCCTCCCAATTCCTGGTCTGGGCAAACGATGATCACGCGCTTCCTACACACAGCCGCCTACCGTTCGTGCTCGCACTCCCTCTGCGTTCGTTCCCATTGCGGGAGTCGTCTGCTGCCGTGAGAGTTACGTGACGAAAAAGACGCTCGACATTGCAACACGTTTCGAAACGAGAACATCCCTCGCAACCATGTCCTTCCGAGACTCCTTCCGCCGGGTCTTCCACCGCCGCTCGAACAGCTCCAATCCCAAGTCCAATTCCAAAGGCAAAGGCAATGGCATCAAGATCGAATACTACCGGCGCGGCGAGGTGCCCCGGTCCAAATTCCGCGGGCCCTTCAACCCGGAACACCAGAAGATGCTGGCCGCGTGGTCGTTCGAGAACGCCATGGGCCCTCCTCGAACCTGCTCCATGGACCTGTCGTTGTCGCCCTGTGCAACCCTGGGCGAGAATGTGTGCCCCCTTGACACTCGAATGATGATGGCCGACGAAGAGGTGGATCCGCTTGCAGATGCTGCACCCGATGCCACTGCCCGCCTGTTCCTCGATGCGGTGGTGCAACCGTCTGATGGTATGTTCTGTCTGTTTTTTCTTGGCGGTGGAAAGAAGTGGCCTTGGGCTAACCGTTGTTTTGTTAGCTTCCATCACTGTCTCTCACGACGAATACGCCCCGGATCGTCAAGCAGACTCGGGCTCCCAGTCCTCGGCCACCGCCGTCGATCCCGACAGCTTCAATGGTTCCATGGCCACCTTGCTGCCCGAACCGCTCGACGCTCGTCGCCGCGATTCCATCGCCCTCATCAAGGAGACAATCCGCTATACGTCGCCGTTGCCCGCCATGTCGCCCAAGGCTGTCACCCCTCACATGCCATTTTCACCAGACGAACTGGCCCGGGCACTGCACGCCGTGCAGCTCTACGCATAGATCAGTTTCACAATCCTCGCCTCACTGAATCTTGGTCCTGGAATGGTTTTACGAATTTCCTTCCTTACTTTTACACTATTTTATTTATTCATTTTATTCGTCCCCCCCCCTCATATCATCAACGCCTCTAGAAGGGGCACACACGCTTTTCCTTTTTTTTTTTTTTCTTGGCATTCACAAGGCCAGATGCATCGATAAAGTGTGATACAATGTTTCATCGATGTTCTTGTGTTTGTCCGCCCTGGGGTCTCATTCCGCGCCAAGAGAAACGCATTCTGCCAAGAGGCGAGGGACAAGCCCTGGAGTCTCTTCCTTTCTACCCTTTTTTGAGCGAATACCCTTGCCCTTGCATTCGAATCTTACATTTTACCTCGGAGGACTTCTGGTCTCCTCTGCTACAAGCGTTGCATTGCTCTTTTGAGAATGTACAGTATACATAGACATAGAAACAATTGAAAGAAAATAAAACAACAATAAATCTCAAGAAAAGAATGTACTATGGAGTAATATAAGCCTAAGTATTTATCCATAGAAATTGGGTACCAGGTCCGCAACCGGATATGTACCAAGCCTTGCAAGAACGCGTAGCAGATTAGTTGTCCAGCCTGACAGATTTACATACTACATAACTGGTTACTGTAGATATCCTGGTTACTACCCAGGAACTCTGAACAGTGCAAGGATGCCCGACGATCATTACGTCGGGATCGGCGGGCCGGATTCGTCTAGAAGGATGGCACATGCTGGCTTAGTAGTTAGTATTATGCCTAGATATGCGCTTAGTAACTATTAGTATGTACTAGGTAGCTAGCTAATTGCCTGATTATTCTCTAGTATATACTTGGATACTGTAGAGATATACTGTAGTGTAGATAGATTGTTAATCCTCCTGCGTGACCGACATATCCAGAACCTCGACCCTGCCTCTCCCCCTGGTCTCGTTGCCGACAAACTCGTTGAGGGTCTTGAATGCCCCCGGCTCCGCGAAGCCGACGACCTCCCACTCGTCGCCGGCGAGGTCCTGCGACTCCACGGACTCGAACAGGCTGAGGATCTTGTCCTTGACCGTGCCGGGGGTCTTGGAAGTGGACGGCTCGGCTTCAGATGCGCCATCCTCCTCCTCCTCCGACCCATGATGTTGTTTATTTGCTCCCTTTCCCTTCCCGGACTTCCCGCCCTTCTTCGATTTCGATCCTCCTCGGTGGTCTCCGCCCGTCGAGGAGGGTGTTGTCTCCTTCGCACCCGCCCCGCCAGCCGTCTTGACGGCCTGTTTCAGTAAAGAGATAGGACAGGTCACCCGCAGCCGCATCCGCGCTCGCATCACAGGGATCGGTTGCCATGCGATCAGCGCCTTCATGGCGTCCAGAGCCTGGCTCTTGGCTGACTTGTTGGGCGCGAATCCCGTCCAGAGCGGTTTCCGCGGCATCTTGGTGCTGCTGCTGACGTCCTCAGGTGCCCCGTTGTTGTCTTCGCTCTGCGCCGGCGGCTGCGGCTGCGGCTGCTGCTGCTGTCCACTCGCTGAGCTGAGCTGGTCGAGCGCCTTGGAGATCATCCCGGGGGTATACACGCGTTTCGTCGTCGGGTCGACCAGCCGTGACGAGACAATATCCAGGACTTCCTTCTCCACGCGCTCGAGAATCTCCTTGCGCTCCCGCTCACCCACCTGCACCTCGCCCTTGAGCAGGATCTCTTGTCGCACCTCGTCTAGCGGTGTGTCTTTACCAAAGGCTTTGATCAACTCGGCGGACGGCGCGGTCTGCGCCTTGGATACAGACAGGAAGACCGTCGGCACTTGCAACACATTATCAAGGTCTGTCTCTGCCCCAGACCGGTATTCGAGGAGTTTGTTTTTGTAGCATGCGAGCTCGAACCGTTTTTTCCCTGCGTTTATAAAAAGAAAAAAAAAACCAAATTGTTAGCGGGGTTGCGAAGCGGGGTGGGCGCGGCAATTTAGTAGAAGGCTTTGCTTCTCACGGTGTCAACATGCCAGCCACTGTAGGCCCAAGACATACCCTTTTTTAACCGGACGACCGACACATTTGTGAATTTGATCTGGTTCGATGGCTGGTTGATTCCGACGGGCATCGTGGCTGATTGTTCGTAGAAAAGCGTTATAGACCTTAGGCCCAAGGTAGAGAGATGAAAAAAAACGAGACAACAGAAGAAAGAAGCTTATTATTAGTATGTAACACAATCCACGGCTTCGGGTATCACTCTATCCAGAATCAAGCCTGCAACAAAGTCGGCAACAAAGTCGGCAGCAGTATACTACTAAGAGTATCTTTGCCTGAAGCAAAAGCGTCATTCTTCTGCGACTTTTCCCTTCTCCGTTAGCGTGTCCTCGTGACCATGGCTGACTCATCGACGTGTGATACCCGGCTCTGATTGGTTGCCCCTGCATGATCCACCAGCCATCCGCTTATCAGGGCCCCCGGAGTCGTCCGTCGTCATCGCTCCTCACTCCCTCCTCATCTCTCTGCTGTCTCGAGGTACGCTGGTGAATCATCAGCCTGTCTCGACGATTCGATATATACATTTCAATATATATCTCTTCTTGGATATATTCTTCCTCCTCATTCATAGAGGTAAGTGTCTGCCCTTCACCGTTTGTTTCTAGCTTGTTCTCCGTACTGATCGGTGCCTGCCTAGCCCTCACGACCAAGGTCCTTGCCATCGAATTCATCCATTTAATCCCTCTTTATCATCACAGGATTCTCTGATCGAAGATGAGGTTTGGTGTGTCGTCCACCCTCCTGCTGGGGGCTGGAGTGGCTTCTGCTGCCGCTCCCCCGTACCAGCAGATTCTCGACATGCCCAAGCACGGTGTGGAGAGCGTTGCCAAGCCTCTGCAGGATTTCCACGACCAGGTCAAGTCCGGCTTTGAGAGCTTTTCCAAACCCATCCACAAACTCGAAGAGCAGCTGAAGACCCTTTCCGATGAGGCTCGCCAGCTTTGGGAGGAGGTCTCCAACGCCTTCCCTGACTCGTTCGACCATTCGCCCGTCTTCTCCCTGCCCAAGAAGCATACTCGCCGCCCCGATTCCCACTGGGACCATGTTGTCCGTGGATCAGATGTGCAGAGCATCTGGGTCACGGGTGCCAATGGTGAGAAGGAGCGAGAGATCGATGGTCGTCTTGAGACCTATGATCTCCGAGTCAAGAAGGTTGACCCGACCGCTCTCGGTGTGGACCCTGGTGTCAAGCAGTACTCCGGTTATCTCGACGATAACGAGAACGATAAGCACCTCTTCTACTGTAAGTTTTTCCATTTTATCTATTATTCTCTTTCCAGAATCAAGGCTAATTCGTAAAATAGGGTTCTTCGAATCTCGCAATGACCCCGAGAACGACCCTGTGGTCCTCTGGCTGAACGGTGGTCCTGGTTGCTCTTCTCTGACTGGATTGTTCATGGAGCTGGGACCCAGCTCGATCAACGCCGAGATCAAGACCGTCTACAATGACTTCTCGTGGAACTCCAATGCCTCGGTGATCTTCCTCGACCAGCCGGTCAATGTTGGTTACTCCTACAGTGGGTCCTCGGTCAGCGACACTGTCGCTGCCGGTAAGGATATCTACGCGCTGCTCTCGCTCTTCTTCAAGCAGTTCCCCGAGTATGCCAAGCAGGACTTCCATATTGCGGGCGAGTCCTATGCTGGCCACTATATCCCCGTCTTCACCTCGGAGATTCTCTCCCACAAGAAGCGCAACATTAACCTCAAGTCCGTGCTTATCGGCAACGGCCTGACCGATGGTCTGACTCAGTACGAGTACTACCGCCCCATGGCATGCGGTGAGGGTGGCTACCCTGCCGTTCTCGACGAGGCTAGCTGCCAGTCCATGGACAACGCCCTCCCGCGCTGTCTGTCGCTGATCGAGTCCTGCTACAGCAGCGAGAGCGCTTGGACGTGCGTGCCTGCCTCCATCTACTGCAACAATGCCCTCCTCGCGCCCTACCAGCGCACTGGACAGAACGTCTACGATGTCCGTGGCAAGTGCGAGGACTCAAGCAACCTCTGCTACAAGGGACTCGGCTACGTCTCCGACTACCTCAACCAGCCCGAGGTTCTCGAGGCTCTGGGCGCTGAGGTCGAGGGTTATGACTCCTGCAACTTTGACATTAACCGCAACTTCCTCTTCCACGGTGACTGGATGAAGCCATACCACCGTCTCGTGCCTGGTATCCTCGAGCAGATCCCCGTCCTGATCTACGCCGGTGACGCCGACTTCATCTGCAACTGGCTCGGCAACAAGGCCTGGGCCGAGGCCCTCGAGTGGCCCGGCCAGGAGAAGTTCGCCGCGGCTGAGCTCGAAGATATCCTCATTGTTGACAATGAGCACAAGGGCAAGAAGATCGGCCAGATCAAGTCCCACGGCAACTTCACCTTCATGCGTATCTACGGTGGCGGCCACATGGTCCCCATGGACCAGCCGGAGGCCAGTCTCGAGTTCTTCAACCGCTGGCTCCGCAATGATGAGTTTTAAGCAGGCTATCATTTTTCCGTCTTGACTACTGCCTTTTTTGTGTTGATGGTTGATAATCCTTTGTCCTGCCTTTTGCTTACGAATATTAACTAAGATCGCAATGGAATAAATCATAGCATTATACATTTGTGTACCTTGTAGGTTTCGTAGGTCGAGTTACCTTAATTTTATGAATTATCCGAGCAAGCATATCATGTTTCTCGTACGGACATCGCCCATGACCCAAGTCTTGTACTGAGGGCCTTTTTTTTACCTTGAGCAATGCAAGGCGTGGTATTGAAGGCTAGTTCTTCATGTAGTGCCAGACTAGAGGCGATACGAAAAGAATCAGATGTATGGAAATGCGACGTAGGGAAAGAAAATAAAAAGCCCAGGGAGTTCTAGTGTATTGGTATGATATTCATTTTATTTTCTGAGACCGGTGTCCTTTTTGGAAACATTTCACAAACACCACATCATGTAAGGTCCCGAGGGGCGGCAAAACAACGAAGAACCCCCAAACCCATTCCAGCAAGTAAAGAGGAACACACACATATCCGTGACGAGGGGAAACGTAGGAATTTTGAAAGAAAGAGGCGTAAGGCTTAGCCCTTCTTCTTGCTGACACCGACGGTGCGGCCACGGCGACCAGTGGTCTTGGTGTGCTGGCCGCGCACGCGGAGGCCCCAGTAGTGACGGAGACCGCGGTGGGAGCGGATCTTCTTGAGGCGCTCAAGGTCCTCACGGAGCTTGCTGTCCAGACCGTTGGAGACAACCTGGGAGTCCTTGCCGTCGGTGATGTCACGCTGTCTGTTCAGGAACCACGAGGGGATCTTGTACTGAGTCGGGGACTGCATGATGGTGACGATACGCTCGAGCTCTTCGGTGGTAAGTTCACCAGCACTAGAAATCAAAACAGTCAGCTTGGCTCTTCTCTTTTCTTTAATTTTCATTGCCGT